TTCTTTTTATTTGGATAACTCAAAGTGGTATCACTTAGTCGATTACACTGCCCTTCAATACGATTTTTCCCATTGAAACAAAATAAAGACGACACATTTCATATGCGCGTCCTTGGTTAGTTAAAAGGGGCCAAAAAGGGGCGGGACTAAAGGGGGGTGGATGATGGGACATGTCGACCACAGCAGTTGACAAATTTGGAAAAATTGCAACAGCGACAGCAGCCAGATGCTGCTGCCTTGAGGCCAAAAAAAATACACAGAACCCAGAAAATAACAATATCTCGCAAAAGGGGCGTTTCGGGGGTGTAGCGCCCACAATTGAATATATGTATGTATATATATAGTAATAATGTGCCAAATTGTTGACGATGCTGATGAAGATGCCACCGCTGATGGTTCCCTTTTATGTGTTCCCATGGCCAAGGGAAATTGTAAAAACCAAGTGCCAAATAAAAAGGGAAAAATGGTGCAAAGAGTTAACTGATGAAATATGGAATAAATGGAGGGATATTATTTTAATAAAACATTTTTAACTTGTTTCTTTAAAATATAAAATATAATGTAAACCTTGTATAAATAAATAGGTATTAAATATTTTGTAACAAGCATTGTCTTGTTATAAATATTAAAAAAAAAAAAAGAAAAATAAACATTTCATGCGTATTCACCCATAACCGCCTATTAAGAGTATTCAGTATTCATTTCACATTCGTGTTCGTTTTCCGTATTGTTTATTTTCACAACAAAGTTTTTGTACGCCGTCCAATGTTTGTAAACATTTTCCTGCTTTACTCCGCCACCACCTCTATTTTCCCCCCATAAATCGCACTTTTTCCCACTCTTTCTTCGTTTATAATTTTTCATTATTCTCCGAGTATTAAAAAATCATTTCGGTTGCGGTTGAAGAGCTTACACTTGATGTTAACCGAATACTTAAATGTGGAATAGATGTTGCACTTTGAAAATTCAGTTCATGTTCAGTTAATGTTTGTGATTTAAAGGGAATAGTTATGTTATAGGTCTGTAAAATTATAAAGAGACGCAGAAGTTTGAGTTTGTTGTAATGAGTTTTAATCCGTCTCATGGAGATCTCTAATTTGGCCACATTTAACCTTTCGCCACACACACTTTTTCATCACATCTCATTACGCTTTAATGGTTCAGTTCCACTTGAGGCTAAACTCCCCCATTTTTATTCAGATCTTTTGGGGCATTAAGTCCTGACGGCCGTTATCTCTCTCGGTTCCACCTGCATTAAAACGTTTTTATGTCATTTTTCTTGTTGCCAAGAAAATAATAAACGTGCCCCAACCCCCGGGCACCGGGATTATGATTCAATATATTTTTTTGTTGCCAGCAAAAAAGAGGAGACCAACATTGGAATTAATGTATTCGAATTACTCACATCACTCCGTTGACACTCTTCATTGGCGGCGACCACGCCCAACTGAAAAACTTTTCGATTTGCTCAAGTTAAGCTAAAAATATTACTTTGTATAACAAACAGCTTATATAATTCGAAATTCCAAAAAAAAAAGGAAGAACGGATGGATGGACGCGGTCTGAATAATTGTTGCAAGGTTGAGAGCTTTCGCTGACGCAAGAAGGACGCAGGACCTTTCGCCTAAGGACCCCCAACCACCCATCAACCGCCTCACGATGCAACTGTTGCTACACAGGAAAAATATCCCTTCATATTTCAACTGAAATGGTTACTATAATACTCTTGGGGTTAAGTTAGAAATAAGAAATTTAACTCTTTGTACTAAAAGAAAAATAGAACCAAAAAAAATCTATTTTTGTTTTATAAAGTAATTAAAACTATTTTGAGGAAGTTAATACGTTTGAAAAATACTTCTAAGTTTTAAAATTTTGAATTAATCCATAAACATAACGTGAAGTGTAGAATTCGTATCCCCATTCCAATCAACTGCTGGAATCTAATTGTATAATTTTTTTTTTTATATTTCAAGGGGAAGGCTGCAAATGTGAATTATGAAATGTTGTTCGCTGTGTTGCAGGTTGCCCTTTTTGCAGAGGTTCGGTTCTGTTCAGGCACTGCGACTGACAGTTAAATGGAGTGTCACCGCCGTCTAATCAGCTGCAAACGCAAACATGAGGTGGAGGTGGGGTTGCTGACAATCTCAGATTAGTGTCGCCATATTGCGTCGGACTGGATCTGTTTTGTGTCTCTATGCCCGCATCTGTATCTATGTCTATGTCCGGGGTCCAGGACTGAGTTAGAGTTAGCCCGCCCTTTTGTGACAGCCGCACGTCCGTAAGCCAGTTAAGACAGGTCCCGAGTTCCGAGTCCCGAGTCCTGAGTTCCGAGTCCCAAGCCCATGGGGCAAACTCATAGCCAGGTGAGCTGTAACCAATCCGTCAACCCACTCGGAGAAAAAAAAGGTATTTGAGGAAAGCACTTGAAAAAATCTTAAAATACAACCAACCTTTCTATAACTATATCCATAGAAAAAATAAAAAATATTTAGAGATTTAAAATATCCTAAAAAGCTGTCTAAAAGTATGCTAATAGTTTTGAAAAGTTTAAAATGCGCATGCAGAAAAACGATGTTTTATTTATAGCATACTTTTGGGTACACTTTCAAATGATTTTTTATTTTTTAGCACACTTTTGGGCAATTTTTCAAATGATTACAAAGCTCCATTTCTAGTTTTCCCCAGACCGTTCTAGAACTTCTCTCAGTGCTGCCCCAAATCGCCTAAAGGGAAGTCTGCCTGTTGTCTAGTATCAGTTTTAGGTTTAGACGCTTTCATTTTCATTGTGGCACGCTTAGGCAGAGTGATGAGATTTCTTAACTGCGATTTGCGTCTATTTTTGGAATGCCCGAACGAGGGATGAGCGAAGGGTGTCGATGAGAATGGAGTGAACTTGGCCCCGGGTTAAAACCCAGGCAGATAGAAACCCCGAATAAGTTGTGACTGGGGAATACCAGTCAGCTGAAATGGGAAACCAATCGGATAGCCGCGAGCCTTTCGAGAATTATATTTTTTCGATTTGGGGATAATCATATTGGGAATTTCGCCTCATAAAAGCCCCATAAAGCGTTGAGAAATTCCACGGTCCGGCTATTCCATTCATTAATAAGTACCAATTATTAAGTGCTTTCCTAATTGAAATTTCCAGCGGCCTATAAAGTTGTTTAGATTGTTTGGAAATTTTGTAATCGCCCTAAACTGTTTCATAAAGTTGCTAATGGTTTTTCGGTTGGGAAACAATTATAATGGGGCTGTTTAATAATAAATACTAAGCTACGGTAAAAATGTAAGTCGATTTCCAATGAATTAAATTTTAAGTATTTTTTATCAACTTGCAATCAAGGTTTTTCGTTGGGTTTCCTTAGCCACTGCAATCCCAGCTGTTTGGTCAATCAAAAGTCAGCTTATAATTTGAACGTGGGATAATTGAAATTGCCTTCGAGGCCAGAGCGACAAAGTTGGATTCCGGATTCTCTTTTTCTTTTCAATTTGCTGGGATTACTTTAGTTGGCCACATTCCTTTCGTGTTGCACTTTTTCTTGACGGAGATGCACCGCTCTGAAGAGCGGGGGCGAAAAAGCTGAGGCAACAGTTTTCCAAGAATTCTATGATAATAATAAAGTTTTCCTTTGGCTGCTGCTGCCGCTGTCCATTTTGCACATTAACGCAACCGATGGCACAGTGGTCAAAATGGGCAAACCGAATTGACAAAAATATCTAGAGACGTAAAATATCCCAAAAAGGTCTCTAATAATTATGAAAATGATTTATGGCATACTTTTTGACACTTTTATGAATGGTTTTTAAAGGGAACTAAATAATCGGGGAAATTCTAATTTATTCTACATCCTGCTAAGAAATAAATTGGTATTTTCAACTATTTTGTTCCACAGTGCGAGGGGCAGTGGGCGGGGCTAGTACGCCCAGGAGATGGAGAGCAGTTGGCATTTTAATTTCGTTAAGTACCGTTATGGCCCGCGCCGCAAGTGGAATGCAATGGGAGCAGGTCCATAAATTACGCATACGCCGCGTTCGCCAGCAGTTTTGGGCACTTTCGGCCACCTCGAGGGAATTGCAAGTGCACGTCGGAAAAAAAGATAAATAAAATCAAAAGAGCCAATGTCTTATAATTAGACATCGGATTTTAGGTGAAATCGTTTTTTTTTAATTTGATTTACAGCCACATTTGATTGGTTAAAATTTTGAAACAAAAACCTCAAATAAATTTTGCCTAAATCTATGTATAACTTTATAAATAAAATTTTTAACCAATTAAATGTGGCTTTAACTTGTATTTAAAAAAAACGATTTCACCTAAAATCCGATGTCTACTTATAATTATATCTTTATAATTAAAAGAGTACTAAATAAATGTACTGAAATTCGTTTACAAATTCAATAAAAATTTATTGGAAAAATAATTTTGTTTTTTTATATATTTTTTGTCTTTAAGAAATTTAAGATTTTATTTATGTGCATTCCTTTACTTTGCTGAGTTTTCCTTTACACATTTTTCCTCTGTGTGAATAATGACCTTATAATGGGTGGGGTTTTATAGACTTACATTTTGTAAACAATTCCAGGTGAGGGAGAAGTACAATCATGATAAAATCAAATGCAGCAACGCATATGGTTTTATAATAGAATATTTGGCTTTTGAGATATTTTAAAGAGGCAGTTTACAAAAAAAAGAACAAATTAAGAAAAAGCTAATAATAATTTAGAGTTAATAAATATTATTTAAATATTAACATATTATTTACTTTTTTGTTAACATTCTCACTAAGCCTGTTTTCTTTTTGTTTTAAGTAAGAAATAAATGTATTTTAAATACAGTAACTAGGATAATAATTGTATGCATAAGTTACCAGAGGTATCAAGATAGGATTAAATAAATAAAATATAACAATTTCTTCGCAAAACTGTCCCATTTCAGGAACCCATTTTTCTCGCCAGTGTGGCTAGGGATACGGATAAGGATAAGGACATTAAGGACTCACCTCCGCTGAACAGGACGAGGTGCAGAAGGCACTCCAGGGCGGCGCCGTGGGATTTGAACCTGTACCGGGGCTTGTTGCTCGCTGCCATTTGAGCTTCGATTTACATGTTCGTCGGATCGCCGGCTTTTCCTCTTTTCCTTCACCTCTTTGTTTTCTTTTTTTTGTGTCCAGAAACACACACGAAAAAAGAACTGCTAGTTCTGGTGAATTATTCAGCCCTTTGTCGCTGCACTTGTCCCATGAATATTTCAAGTGCGCCCTGCAATTAGCCGCACACACACACACACTCGGCCAAAGTTACATCTATGATTACAATTATTTCAATAATCAAAACACACACGCACCCTCTTAAAAAAAAACAACCAGATCCAATTGATAACACTAGAAAAAAATGCCAAATAATTGAATTGCAATTGAACGTTCACAAAAATGCGCGCCAAAAATTGTGTTCGCGTTTTTTGGGAGGCAGCTAAAAGGGGGCGGGGCAGTCGCACGTGCGCTTTCGCTAAGCGCCAGAAACCAACTGAATTTTCTGTTTTGTTGGCCAAGTTGGAGGGGCCAACAGAAGATAACAGACGCTGTTAAGGGGCTGCCAGCAGAAAATTAAAAGGACGCAGTAGAACAGACACAAAAATAGCGGAAAATAAGACGAAAGTGTATTTTTAAAAAGCCAAACATCTTATTATTTTTATTTAATTTTACTATTTAGTAAAGTTTTTAAACTTAAATTATAAATGAAGTCTTAATCCTCTGTGTAGAAATTAAAATTACCTTATATCAGAGCGTATATTCTGTCTTAAATCATTATTAAATTAATTAAAAATAATATTACATGAAGTTGCCTTGGGATATGTACAACTTTTGTGTGCTTCCTAAGAAAAGCAGCTTGTTTTGTGAGTTTAATGATACAATTCTTTAAACTAATTAATTTATATTTTATATAGGATTCAGCAAAGGACTTATAGTATAAGTCTTAAACCCATAAAAAGGTCAAAATGGCAACACTAGACCACTGTTAACCGTTGTTAACAGCGAAAAATGCAGAGAGTAGATAATGTTAGGTTTATAAATAAAGGGGAGCAGCTAACAACTGTTAAATGCTTAAATAAAGTAAAAACCTACAAACATTAAATCTCAAACATACTCTCTTAGAGAAAATATAATAAATACTTGTTTTGATTATTATTTTCTATAATGTTTTTCATAAAACTTGCTAAATATTATTTTAAAATTTCTTTGATTTAAGCAAATATACCTACTTAATATAATATACATGCCACGATACGCAAACTAAAATTTGCCTAGCACTGCAATTTCAAAGACTGAATATGTAATGGATATTTTGCTTGAATATAACGTATTTTTAAAATTTTAATCAATTTCAGATGGTATGGTAACGCCAGGTGTTGACTGCTCTGTTAACGTTTACGATAGCTAACATCGACTATCGATATACCGACGGTTATGTTACTGATTTGGCGCGCTCCTAGGCTGTTACCAAAATTCAAAACTGATGTTAAATAAAAGGTGATAAGAAAATGGTCTCTTTGACTATTTCCAAAAATAATTAATACCTTTAACTTGTTTCGCCTTTCAACTAAAATGATTTGAGATATTTATTCTACTTGATTTAAAGAACATTATTGCAAATTCCCAAAGCATTAAAAAATCTTTGTTTGAAACAAATAATGGATTCAAAATGTTGCTTATAAATGTCAAATCAAAGTTAAGTCGCTTGCCAAAATATATACTTGTTGCCAGGCGGGCATAGCGGATTTTGAGTAATGCTGACGTAAAAGCAGTCCTCAGATAACCAGTTTTGATCAGTTTACAGTGGAATTCGGTCGATAGATAGTTGAACAGCTCAGCGAAAAATTGACTGGAATTTGTGTTCAATCATATAGTTTTCGTATTGACAGCTTTACATAAACACCATTACTAAACAAAAAATTAAATATTTTAATAATAATATTTTATAAAGAAAAGTACAAAGTCCAAAAGCACTTGAAATTCTTTTGGAATTACCTTGAGAATTTCTTTCGCCTAGGACTATCGGTCGAATGGCGCCATTATTCGATTCAGAATTCAGAAGTGTGTTATCTGATATATACCGTATTTCTTTTTCTTTTTTTCCAAAGCTGTTCTGGGCCAGACAATCTCACGTTTTCGTTGTTACTGTTTTATCAGCTGTCTGGCAAGACATTTACATATAATCGAACGATCCGGCTGAGTAGGTATGTGGGTTTTTTTTTCGAGCCCCGAAAGGTTATTTTTCTTTCGGCTGAGACACCCGAGTATAATTGATTCGGAGTTACAATTTCAGCTTGATCGATGGACTTTGGAGAGGAGTAAGAAAAAAAAAAAGGGGAAAGCCCTGGTGAAAGGTAGCACTTAGCAGGAAACCAGAAATTTGCCTACGGCCGTCATAAATCAGTTTCAATTTAAATTATCTGTTCACCGGTCGCTGGCCATAAATTACTTATCGTTTCACTTGGCTTGCTTCTCGTTTTTTTTTTGCTGGTCTGCTAAGGTCTCTAAATATTAAGCCATAAATATTTGAACTTGTCAAATTGGCCCGCCGCAATCACAATTTAAATATTTGCTGCCATTATCGTGATTACAAATGTGATTGTGGTCATAAAAAAAAAGAACAAAAAACGGGCTACCACAATTCTCGGGCTCCGATTTCGTTAATTAAAGGGGTGAGCAGCAATATTATTCATATTTCGAAACGAAACGAAGCGATCCGCGTGGCAGCGGCGTGCATCCCATCGCCCTATTGATAAGTCCGGGGGTCCAAAAGCAATACCAAAACCCGAACCCGAACAGAGGGCCTAAAAAAAAACAGAGCGCCGGGTATTAACATTCCGCTCGATATCGCATAATTTATGCACCTCTTCCGCAGCAAAGGTGGCGAAAAAAATGAGAGACAGGCGGACAGGTGGATGGAGAGTAGTGATAAGCTTCTGGCCCTCTCTTTCGGTTTTTGGTCTTCGGCTTTTGGCTTCTGGCTTTTAACTCTTGGCTTTTGGCCAACTCAAATGCAGCCGCAATATTCGCAGCGATTCCGATGTCCGATGTGCTTCGTCAACAACACACAAAACAGAAATTTCATTAACGAAACATTTGTGTTTACCTTATAAATATGCACTTACCGAAAGAAGGGTCCATATTATTTTTAATAAATTGCGGCACCTTTATTATATACCCTAAAAATAGAATGGTATTTAAATATTTGATATAAAAGAGAAAGAAAAAAATTGGTCTTATAAATATACCCTTACACCACAGAGAGTCCACATTATTTTAATGTTTTTAATATTTTCATTTAAAATCATGTTTTTATATATATAAATTATGAAACTTAAATTTACTAAGCAGTTTTATCTGTTAATTATCTGTTAATTTGGAATTATTTTTAGACCTTATTTACTTTTACCTGTCTTCAGATTCCCAGTAAATGAATACCAAGGCAAAGAAATACACAGAAATATAAGAAGTTAATATCAAAAGTCCCCCGAAACGTGAGTGGCGATTTTGGTAAGATTAGTAGCGTCATAAATAAACAAATTAAATTGTTTACGCTTAGGTGGTTTTTCTGTTTCTTCTTTTTTTTTTTTTGTTGTTCGGGGGATTCCGAATCCGAATGCGAATCGGAATCAGGGTATTCGAACGGCCAACCGATGACAGATTTCGCTCTTCATTTCGGTGTTCCGTTTTTATATGGCATTTACCATTTACCCCCCGTTTCACCTTGCCCCTCGCGGGCCAATGTCAAGTTCGTTGCCAATGTCGTTCGATTGGGAGAGCAAAGCGCGAGAGCTATAGAGATAATACGGCTCCCACGGGGGTCTCCGGGTCTCTCAATGGGCCATCGGGGGTGTCGGGGGGTGAGGAGGGGTCATTTGAGGGTGTCGCCGGATCGATTAGACAGCTAATTGCGTTCAAAACGCCGCCGCTCACAGCGTGTCAGCCGTCGGGCTGCGGTGGCGTATACGTAATCACCGAATTCGAATCGCGCCTAATCGCGTATACGCCGCGTATTCCCATTCTCATTTCGTATTAAATGCAAACAATAATTTTTTAATTTGCAAATTATGGGACGGCGAAGAGCATAGCATCCAATTCAGTCGCCCAGCGAAAGCCGAACGAAACGGACGTGTTTCTTTTTTTTTCTTATACCACCGAGAAGGAATACAGAAAAATACAGGGGTAAAATAAAAAAAAGGGGAATGGATTTTTGCGAATTTGGTAAAAACAGCACGAGAACAACGACGGATAGGTAACGTTCGAAAACTGATAAGTGCAACTTGTGAAATTGATACTGGAGGAGCGAGCGAGCCCTTGATTCTCGATTGAAATGCGCGGAAGTTTCCACTTGTCGAGCAGTCGAAGCAGTCGGAGCTATCAGAGCCAGCATACTGAATACCCCCGGTAGTCGACGACATAGCCACTAAAGCTAATTGTGAGCCATTAATTGATTGGCAGCGAACAGTGAACCACCGCCGGCTGGTAGAGAAACGCCCCCTTTTTTTCCAACCCCCCCTTTCCCCACACACATAAAATATAAAATAAAAAGCAAGGAAAGACAACAGAATGAAGGGCCAGCAGGAAGAGCAGCTGGTGCCACCGGCCTACAAGCCCACCGTTGTGGCTGGAAAGGACACCTCGAAGGACGCCAAAAAGGAGAAGCCCCTGGGCGAGGGACGCCTAGCAGTTCTGCGGCAGGAACTGATGGTCTTCCTGGGCAACACCGGCGTCCTCGGCTCCGGAATGGTCGTCAGCATGCCCGCCGTCACCCTCACCCAGCTGCACGACGAAACGCAGCCCTTTTGGCTCAACAAGGACGAGTCCAGTTGGTTTGGTGAGCACGCAAAAAATAAAAGATTGGGGATCTTGAAAAAAAAGTGAAGTGAAGTGAAAAATTTAAAATGAATGATTATTATGATATAAAAAGGATTTATCACTCGTTGAGGTCTAAAAGAAAATTAAATAGAAAATATATCAATCCTAGAAAATGAATAATTAATTTACCTCAATTATGAAATATAAAGCTCTATTATTCAAAATTTTAATGAAGACCCAGAAGACACCCAATTATTCAACAAATCTAAACTGTCATTAAAGGAAAAATTAAATATTTTTTAAAGCTAAAGAACTATTATAAAAAAGCAATGAATTATTTCAATATAAAAAGTATTCGGGGCTAAAAATATAACTTTATTTTAATTACAATAAATCTAAATAAAAACTCCACGATTGTTCAAATTTAAAAAGTATTCGTCATCCCTTAAAACTTAACAATATTTACAAAATTTAAATGACGCAAAAAATAAAAGAAATCGAAAAATATGTTCAATGGATTTTTTTAAACCAAAGATGAAATCTTACGATTAGTAAAATATAAAAAGATTAAAATGCAAATAATTTTAGTGACTTGACAAAAATGCAATGAATAATAAAATATTAAATTTATTTTTCAATTTCCTAAATCTGAAACCCATAAAATAGAAATAGCCAATCCACTAACCTTTACAAATTCTCCCTATAAATCGTTTTCAGCCTCCATTCAAAATATGGCCTGTCCTCTGGGTGGCCTGCTGGTTAGCTACTTCCTGGACAGGATTGGCCGAAAACACACTATCCTGCTGACCAACCTGATAGGACTCATTGGCTGGATCCTGCTGGTCACAAGCTTCATGCACTCCGATCGGGATATGATCTACTATCAGATGCTCCTGGGTCGCTGCTTTGGTGGCATCATGATAGGGATGTTCGTCTCGCCCGTGGGCGTATATTCCGCCGAGATAAGCTTGCCCAGGATACGGGGTCGCCTGATATTGGGCACTTCGCTGGGCCTGGCCAGCGGCATCCTGCTGATGTACGTCCTGGGCTACTTTATAAGACACAACCTCCAGCTGATCTTCGCCATCAGCTGCTGCTACCAACTGGCGGCCACCCTGTGCGTCTTCCCCATGCCGGAATCCCCCAGCTGGCTGCTCACAAAGGGCAAGGAGGAGCGGGCCAGGGCGTCGCTCAGATACTTCCGCGGTCTGCCAAAAAAAGGTGAGTTGATCCAAAGAAAACTGAACCAAATTACCCCTATATTATTTTAATATTAATGTCTGATTATGATATATTAGCATAAAAAAAATTGTTCTTTAAATTTACCAGTAATGAATAATATTAATTATTACTTTAACTTTTGTTTAAAAAAATTACAGCAAAAATAAATCTTTCAAAAAAATATCTTCTTTTATAAGAAGCTTTAACTGAAATTACCCCTATATAATTTTCTTAAATTCAATCGGTTTTTTTGTGTTATTATGTATAGATGATTGTAATATAATAACATTACAAAATTCTATATTCTATTCAACCTAAAAAAATAAAAATATCATAATGTTAACTTTTGTTTAAATATAATAACATAAAAAAGAAATCCTAAAAAATATCTTTGTTTAAAGAAAAACTTAAAAATCACTAAAAATAAAATTTAATAACCCTTTAAGTTCCTCTATTTTGTAAGCTAGTGTAATTGAAAATCTGATAAGATTCACCTAATCGTTGACTAATAAAATACAAAATAATCAAGCAATCTGGGCAGCAATTTGAAGACATTAAAGTGACTAAAAATTAAGTGAGTGGGTGTAGAAAAGTCAGGCAATCCATTAGGAAATTAGATATATGGGTACTATAAATCTAATGTCAACATTGACCTTTATAGTATGAGTTTTTTCGTTCGAAATGTTTTAATGAGACTTTTTAGGTTCAGAACAAAATGGCAAAGCAATGCAAGTAATTATTATATATACATTTCCTTTATCTGTTTAACGCAATTTCAATTATCTTAATTAGCATTTAAAGCCTTAAATATGCATTACTGGTTTTGTCACTTAAAATGTATTTATATATTTGCGGAAGAGAAAAGTTTATGGCAGTACATATGCACATATTATTTTGAGGATACAAAAGTATTTTAAGGTACAAAGTATTTAAGGAAATACCTGCCCAATTATTAAATACCATTTAGATGACATAATTTAATATTTTTTTTGATAGGTATTCAATTATAGGTATTCAATTATAATATTATTTTGTTAAATTATTTAGCCAGTTTATTACTTAAGATTTTCAACTATTTCCAACCATTATTTTATACTTTATTGCTTTTTTTTTTTAATTTTATTTGTATATATATTTTATTAATATTTTTCCAATATTTTCCAACCCCTTAACTTGTATAAATGCTTTATATATTTATTTATTTCGTTTTATATTTTTACCTACTTTATAATAAGAGTTTTCCAATATTTTCCCACCCCTTAACTTGTAAAAGTCACTTTTATTTATTTTATTATTATTTTAAATATATTTTTAGAGGTGGACTACGTGCCGGAATTCGAGGCGGAGCTGGCGCACATGAAGGAGCTGGCGGATGCGAGCAATACGACCGCCGCCGGGGAGTCCCTCAGCCAGATGATCCACCGGCCGGAGGTCTACAAGCCCGTCCTGATGATGACCACCTTCTTCGGCTTTCAGCAGGCCTGCGGTGTGGTGGTGATCATCGTGTATGCCGTGCAGATTGCCCAGCAGGCGGGCGTCACAATTGATCCTGTCCTGGTGGCCGTAATGCTGGGCGTGGCCAGGATAATCACGACGCTCTTCATGAGCGGAATCTTCGAGAAGTGGGGTCGCAAACCGGCGGGGATTTTCTCGGCCACCGGCATGGGCTTCTGCATGCTGCTCCTGGCCGGCGGCAATTGGTTTCCCGACACTCTGGGCACCTGGCACTGGCTGCCGGTGGCCTGCATCGTCTGCCACATCATCTTCTCCACCATGGGCATGCTGACGCTGCCCTTCTTCATGATCTCCGAGGTCTTTCCGCAGCGCGCGAGGGGCAGCGCCTCCGGCATAGCCATCTTCTTTGGCATGATCCTGGCCTTCGTGATGCTAAAGATCTATCCGAATATGAAGGATGCCCTGGGCACCGCCAATCTGTTTGCCTTCTATGCGGGCATCTCCTTTTTGGCGGCCGCCTTCATTGGAACCTTTGTCCCCGAGACGAAGGGCAGGACGCTCGAGGAGCTGGAGGAGCGTTGGCAGACGGGCAAGTTCTCGCGAAGATTGACGCTCGTCAACCTGAAGGACGTGGAGCTGCACGAAGTGTTCCTTAAAAAATAGTTTAAAAATTTTAATGATAAAAATTATAAAATGGGGGTTAAAGTAAAGTTTCATTGGCGCATTCGCTGGTTTTTCGTGTCTCAAAAATGTCTAGAAAATCATTGGTAAATTTTATGAGATTTATAACGAATGCCTAAAAAAAATCTAGAAAATCGTTGGTACATTTTATGACATTTACAATGAATGTACCAAAAAATCTAGAAATTCGATGGTAAATTTTATGGGATTTTTAACGAGTGTCTAAAAAAAAACTAGAAAATCATTAGTAAATTGTATGAGATTTATAATGAGTGCACCAAAAAATCTAGAAAACCCTTGGAAAATTTTATAAGATTTACAAAAAACCTAGAAAATTATTTGCAAATTTTATGAGATTTACAACGAATGTAGCAATGAAATACGAAGCATTTCCATTAGAAAGCGGGTCGGGGTCTTCAATCTGTGATGTGTTAAGTACTTAGCCTTGGCAGCCGCATGGAATGCGGCAATTTGATGAACAATAAAGACCATTTACCAAGTAAACAAAAGTCAATTGAAGTGCATGTTGCAGCTGCAGAATGAATTTTCACACACTTACATTTTTCTTTTATTTTTTTGTTTTTTTTTCAGCCCTATATGTATATATTTTTATACTTTTACGCCTTGTATTATTATTAATAAAAACGAATGTATGTAAAACCGCTATTTGCAATATACAACACAAATGAAATAATTTTCTAGTCATTTCTGGGTTAAAGATTAATTTATTGATTTTCAGTTTTCAGAATCTCGAATGATCGGAAATTCCTATTACAACTGCGTTGTTGATTAATAAGAAATTAATCAGCAGTTTTTTTTTTTGCAATTGAAGCGTCTTCAATAGATAACACTTTCAAAGCGAAACTATTGCACTCGAATCTTCCAGGAAAAGAAACTTTCTAAATATTGAAATTTCTAGTATTTCTAGTATTTAGTATATTTTGAAAAAATTGTTTAAAATTTAAGGAGAAATAGGAAAATAACTTACAATTTGAAAGATAACCTTTGCAAAAGGCAAGTGCCTCTTAGCCAATACTCACTGTGGGATCTAGAGAGCAACTCAAAACGTGCCCACTTTCTGGATGGTAATTATGCAATTCCCAATCCCCAATCCCCTGCAATCCAGGGCCCAACCTTCAAGTTGTCCATGCGGGAATCCAAACAATGACTGGCCCACAAATTGCGTTAATGTCAATTGCTTATCGCCACTTGATAGTGTTATAGAGTCTATAACATTTAGATCGATCGCCGGGTGGGTGTGCGTTCGTGACACGATGACGGATCACGGATCATGGATCACGAATCACGGCCCACAGATCGGGAATCACGAGGCGAAGGATCGAGAGTCGAGTGAATAGAGTGGCTCTTATCTGGCGAATTGCGTGCTCTGACGCAATTCCGGAACACTAATTGGAGGCGCTATGAAAACGTGTCGCGGCTATCAGCACCTAACGATCCGGAAAATACAAAAAAAAAAAGAATCACATCGAGAACTTTGTTTACCACTCGGTACGATATCAATAAATATAATACCCACACTGCATAGATACACTTGTAATTCGTCCCGAATTGAATTTATTGCACAACCCACTTGGTGGTATAAGTTTTCCACTCGAGATATAAAGATCGGCGATGATATAACCCCCAGGTGGGCACATCCTCGAGTGCAAAGTGCGAATGGAAATGGAAAGAAGTGAGTCGTTGCAGGAAAACTATTCATTCAAGTGATTTGTTTGTTGTTGAACACCCATGATGAGGTTTTTTTTTGCAATGACCGATAAAGATTTATATGTAACAGCAGTTCCAGCAAACTTTAATCAAAAGGTTTTTGCGCCTTCTGAGTTTTCAAGTGCCAACCTTGGATTTGTCGAAAAAAAGTAGATAGTGTTCAAGTGGAACTAGAAATTTGATTTGCTAAAGAATGCGATCGAACAATTCCATTTTGCGCATACAATAAATGGGTGATAATAAAAAAAACAGTAATAAAATAGAGCTGCCATATAAGGATTTAAATACTTTTTAACACTAAAATCTTTAAAAGAAAAAAATAATTATACATTTCTTTTACTATTTATTCTTTTGAAAGAATTTTGTTGTTCAGAATGTTTATACATTTTCAAAGCATTTATTTGTATTATTATTTTTAAATTCATAAATTTATAAATAATTTAAATTTCAAGATCTTAAAATGTCAACGATCGCTGTTATCGAATCCAGAGTGCTGTTAAGCTTCAGCAGTGCTGTTAAGCGCACTGTTAAATGCAAAAAACCATCCCATCACTAAGGAAAACGACCGTTATTTTGTTTTGCGTTCTGTTTGAATTTGAAATGTTCCTTCGTTTATTTGTTCTCTTTGTAATGTGACATTTCTTAAGTACAACAATTAGCTGCTAGTTTAATATATGTATATATGTGTTCTTTTGTATAAACGAGTTAAAATTCAAGTTGTTCTTATTTCTTCTTGTTTTTTTTTTATTTTCTCGTGTAGCTTTTACGAACTACGAACATTTTAAGAGTCTGTCTGCTGTCTGGCTGTCTCTATGTGTGTGTGTGTATGTCGTTTATTCGGTATATTACGGTACATTACGTTTTTACTTTTAAATATTTAGTTATTTCAAAAAAATTTCCGCTCTCGGGGGCTTAATAGTTATAATATATATATATATATATATGTTGTATACGGTATAGTTAATATAATTGTTTTTGTCGAATATATTCCCTTTGTTTGTTGCTTGCTATTTAAACTGTTGTTTTGTTCCACTAAACTTGTTCTATGTATGAATGTATGTATATTGCTTTTAGGTATGCATTTATTTGTAGGCATTTTGTAGTATTCTTACTTGTCGACTTTAATCTTTATTCTTTAATCGTTAATCTTTAATCTTTATCTAATTCTGATTTTAATTTTTATTCTGTTTTGTTTCTGTCGTTTTTTAGTTTGGTGTTCGGTTTTTAAAAAATCTTTCATAGGGCAGTTCACGTTTCACATACAATCATCGCCATCCGATCGAGTGTTAACCTCACTATTTTTTTATTCAAAAAAAATTAGCCCACTTCCTTGGGCGGTCCTAGCTCCTCCTCCTGGTAGTTGCCGTTTGTTTAAATCTATGTATACATATCTCTATATTTTCTTGTATTTCTTTGAATTGTATATAATTTGTCGGTGTTGTTTTTTTTTTATTTCGATTTTTATTTTTATTTGTATTTTTTAGATGAAATATGAGCGCTACATGGGGCACTACTTTTGGGTAGAAAGGCTAAAGGGAATAGAGCAGATAGATAGATGGTCGAAATTGAAACCACGAAATAATACCAAAAAGTTTCATATATAGGATAAAGCGCTTAGATCTGTCCAACTTTGATCTCTCCTTCAACGGAAGCAGAAAAAGAATATATCTATCTGAATCTGAACCAATATCATCTGGGTCTCACTAATCTCCGCTTTGTTGAGGTTGTTTTTTTCAAGTCATTTGTTGTTTGTTTTTGTTTTCCTTTTTTTGTGTTTTTTCTTGTATAATATATGTTTATATAAAAAACGCTTTCTCTTAGGCTAGAAAAAAAATTGTATGCATATTTCTGGTATTTTGGTTTTTCTTTATAAAAAGATCTTTACCTTCTAGACACATTTACGTTGATATAAAAAAATGTATAATGTATATTTCCGTTACTTAACACGTTTCATGCTTTTTAAGTTTTTATTGAACAACATTTTAAATGTATTTGCGATTAGGTTTTCTGTGAGGTTACCATGTTCTACAATGTAAGTTATTAAAAATACCAAAAAAAAACTCTATTCAGTTGCTGCGTCGCCAGTTCGGTCTCGGTGTTACAACAAAATTAGCTTGGCTTCTTATGAGTAAAGAAAAAAATTGTCTAAAGGGTTACGAGGTAAAAAAAAACCGTCTAAAAAAAACAAGTTCTTTTATGATTTGCCTTTTGTCACATGCTCAAAAAATAGTCACAAAAAAATATTCCCTCCTTTCGCTCTTGCGCTATCCAAGAAAAAATGAATAAATATTTATTTTTGGTTCGCCGTGGCTTAATCTAAATTACACGAGACGATCGACCGCATGCTAAGGTGTAGCATATGTATGAGTTCTGAGTTCTGCTTTCGATTAATCCGATATTCGTTATGTATCCGCTTATTCACTAAGGCTACTTTGGTTGAGACTATTTGCTTTCGATTTAAGTGAGTTTGATGCCGCCATCCCGATTGGAGGGGCTTTAGAATGAATGTCGCTTACATATTGATTTAATAATCGCTCTCGATTTTGTGTATAAATATTCGGTTTTACTTTCGCTAATGCATAATGCACTCTTCATACATATATATATATTTCGGATTTTTTTTGTTTTGTTTTTGAATCGTTATATTTAGTATTCAGCACAACCAAGCTGTAAGTGTTTACTGTGTCTGCTTCTCGCTTAAAACTAGTTTCTTCTTATTACTCTTATTTCGTTGACTTCATATGCCACAAAAACTCTGGGAAAACATAATTTTGATAAATACACAGAGAGTGCTATCATAGTCTTAATCATAAATATATATAAATAAAAAGAAAACTCAGGGGTAATGCTGTTTGTGTCGAAAATGTTTATTAAGTTGCCTTAAATAATGCTTTTCTTAGTTTCTTGTAAGTTTTGTTTTAAGCCAGAGACATGGTAATAAAATAATAAAATAAAATTGAAATTCTGAAATGTTTTTCACGTTTTTTTAACAAATTAAAATTTTTTACATTTTTTTGTTTGTTTATAAGTAATTAATAAAAGTATTTAAAGAATTTAGCAAAAAGGATCATCGCATAATATCTCTTGTTCTCTTCCATTAATTTATGCACCTACACCGAAAAATTATCTGTTGTCTGCAGGTGGAGTGACTGGCTGAATTGGAATATCGAAAATTGGGTAAAATAAAAGGATTAAAAACAAAAACTTAAAATAAAATACAAAGTTAAAACATTAACGATGTGCTTTCTTCGAGTTATTTAAAGTTGAAAATAAAGCCAAGTCACTCCAATGATTTCGTGTTCTCTTTTTTCCGTTTCTTTCGATTTCGTTTCTATTTTTTCTTTCTACTTTCCAATTTCTTCTGATTTTCATTTTGTCGGGCTATTTATCACGTTTCTTTTCTTACTCGGATTTTGAATGTTATTTTGCTTCGCTTCGTTTCTCTTGCTGCTACATGCTCAAGTTTTTTCGTAAAGTAATAAAAAAAATGGATTTCAAAAAAAGTAGTTATACTTAGTAAAAAAAATACATATTCATTATAGCTATGAAAAAAATTGGGTTTGTATTGTAATTTTGTCTGGGTCTCTTTCTCCTTCTCCTACTCAAGCATATTTCTAGCTAAGTATTTATGTTTTTGTTTTTGTTTCGTTTTAAATGTAGTAATAAACAGCCTGAAAACTTGAGCATGTCCAGCCGGTTTAGCCATTTCGTTACGTATATAATATAGACAAAAAAAATGGATTTATAAATTATGAAAAAAAAAGTAATATGTATTCATATATCTCGATTTACTTCAGCTATAAACATACACGATGCCCGTGTACGTTGTTGCGGCATAGTTCGCGCCAAAAAAATCAGTTTCAGACACAGAGAAAAAAAAAACTAAACAATCAGAGCTTATGTCTTCACGCCTACAAGTATGTTATATAGTTATAGATATATAATGTGTGTGTTTTTGTATATAATATATTTTGTTGTATTTCTTTACGATTATACGTTATAAATATGTGACAAAAAAATGTATTTCTCATAGGTTTCTTTTCTCTAAGTTTAAGCAAAAAAATTGATCGACTTCTTCGTCGATCTCTCATTCTATATATATATTTATATATAATTATTTATGATTTGTATACATATACGTGTCTTGCCTTACAGCTAGTTACAAAAAGAAAAAAAAGATTCTTCCCAAAAAAAAGCACAAAAAAACCAACTACAACATAAGGGTTAAAGTGAGGAACATACAAAAAAAAAAGTATATAGTTAATTAATTCTTGGGGTTTGAGAACATAAAAATTTGGGTTTCTGTATATGGTTTCGATGGATGCTGATACTACGATGATCAATATAAGGTATTCATAGTTTTATATATATATATATAGATATATATAAGTTTGTTATATATAATTTCTAATTTGAAGATTGCCTTCATCGTACGCTTCTCAACTCTCTGGTTATGTACGCCATAAGAATCCGACATTTGTGGGGTTCGTGGATGATGATGCCGCCGTTGCCGTTGTGGAAGTGGAAGTTGCAGCAGCCGCTGATGTTGTTGTTGATGTCGCTGCTGCCGCTGCTGTGTTGTTGAAGCTGTTGCCAAGGTGCAGCTGCTGCAACTTTAGTGTTTGCTGATGCAGTTCTTGTTCAGTTGTCGACATATTAAAACTGAAGTCGTGTTGCGGCGAAGTGTGGTGATTATTGGTGTTGTTGCTATCAGTGTTGCTGTTTCCAATCATGTTGCTGCTGCTAGGATTCTTGTTGTAATTGCTACCGCTAGCTGCATTGTTGGAAAAGTTGTTGCTGCTGCTAGCCGCATTATTGGTGTAGTTTCTGCTGCTGCTGTTGGTGTAATTGCCAGAAAGATTGTTGCTGAAGTTGCTGCCGCTAGCCGCATTATTGGAGTAATTTCCACTGCTTGTGGGGTTGTTGGTGAAGTTGTTTCCACTGCTCGCAGAGTTGTTGTGGGCAAAGTTGTTGCCGCCACCGCTGCTGCTGCCGCTGGCACCGTTGTTGGTGAAAGCACTAGCGTTGTTGTAATTGCCACTAAAACTATTGGAGTGATTGGAATTGTTATTGAAGCTATTGTTATTGTTACTGCCTATGGCGAGCAATTGATTGCCAAGACTGCTACTACTGTTGCCATTATGGTGTGGTTGGTGTCGCGATTGTTGTTGTTGTTGATGTTGATACGGCGGCGGCGATGGCATTGTCAAAGGCTGCTGTTGTTGTTGTGATTGTTGCTCCTGCGGTTGTTGCAATTGCAATTGCTCCTGAAGATAGTGAAGTGCAGCAACTCCATTCTGGCGTATCGTATTAAAGTTGATGCTATTGGTGTTCGTGTTGTTGATGTTATTATTGCTTCCATTTGGACTCATACTACTGTGAGCAGCAACATTGCCCAGGCGTTGTTGTTGTTGTTGTTGTTGATGGTAATGCTGGTGGTAGAGTAGCATGTTGTTCTCGTTAGCATTACCATTGCCAATCATATTGTTGGTGCTGCCGGTGAAGCCCAACGCCTGCTGCTGATGTTGTAGTAGTTGCTGCTGCTGTTGCGGTGTCAATTATAAGTAGGGATAATGGTACTTCCTGCGGTACAGTCCGTCAAGCAAATCGGCAAAGTTGTCGCCTAGATGGATTCAAGGTGCAAAAGAGCAAGGAAAGGGTTAAAAAAAGAAGAAATTAATTAGTAAAATATATCAATAATGTTTCAAGTAATCATGCGTCTATATTAACAAGTAAATTGACAAAAAAAAAACTTATCATATAACTATAAATATCCCTGTGGTAGAGCCCTGACACTTAACTAGCCTAGGTGAGAGAGATTAATTAGGTTTAGTATTTCTTTTAGAGAGTTTCGTTTGCCTTCTTTTTGTTTTTTGTTTTTTAGATGGTGTTGGGTTAGTGTTTATTGTTGTTTGTTTTTTGCTTTGTTACTTTTTGGTTTACTTTAGGGATATTTTGTTGTAGTTTTAATTCAAGCTGAAGTTTTGTAATTGCATTATATTTATTTGGTTTTCGATTACAAAGGTTTTCCTTTTCCCACTCGATATAACACACGATTGAAAGGTTTTCGCAATTCGTAATTTTCGTTTGAACGTGCCATGTTTTCTCTTTCCATTTTAGTTTTGTGGAACTATTGGGATGGGATGGGGAATTGGATTGGTGTTATTAAAACAAATTGATGACTGATCTGGTGATGGTCTATTGTTTGTTATGTGTGTTTAATTTATATGTTGTGACTGAATCTGTGGGCGTATTTAAAACACTCACATACGAATATTCAAGTGCGTTCAAAGAACATTAGCAAGCAAAACATGTTGGTATATAGTTGAAATTAAATATATCTAGTTAGAGATTTAAACGGGTTTAATTTAGTTTAGTTTTTTTTTCAGTTTTTTTTAGCGAGAAACATTTACGAACTGGGGAACTTTGATGAAGTAACAACAAGAGTTCGCAGAGCAGACAAAGCAGACCATGTGGGGGATTTTGGATTAAACGAAAATCTAATCAAAAACACTAAACAAAACTTTCGAAACGAGGGGATCTAGAAGAACTCGGTTTTAGTTTTAAAAAGGGGTGAATATTAAGCGCAAGCAAACACATTTTTGGTTAGCAATTTAACTCTTTTTAAGAGGGCCAGCAGCAATTTAAATTAAATTTTTTGTGATTCAATTTTGAGTTCGAATTGGGTTTCATCTAGAAGTACAATTTTTTTTTGGCAGTTTTTCAATTGGAACTTTTTTCAAATAACGCTCTACACACACCCTTGGCCATTGCTTAATAAAAGAAAAAAGCAAATTAGCAAATGCCAAGGGCGAAAAAAAAATTGTTTTATATCACTAAATCGGTTTTTTTTTTCTTGAGAGAGAGATGGTTTAGTAGCTGGATGATGATATGAAAGAAAGTAACAAAGAAAAACATGGCACGCTTTGAAAAGAAAATTCGGCTTCTTTTTCAAGTATTTTTTCTCTTTTTTTCTTTATAAATATACATTTTTTATATAGATTGATGAGAAATTTAAAAACTGAAATTAAATATTTATTTTCTGTCTTCTCAATTATGTGGGAGCGCATGAGTGTGCGTGTGTTGTGTGTATCTGTGTAGGTGTGTGCTCTCTTCTTGATAGACTATACTTAAATAGATCATATGGCTCTGCTTTCGATCTCTCGGCTAGATCTGTCTTAAGGGCTCTCAACGAATAACAAATAAAAAAGCTCTATAATTATTTGCTCTCCTGCGGTAGAAAAGCAAAATAATCTATGATAGTTTACGACTAGGAGTAGTTAATTAGAAATATAAGTATATAAAAAAGGAATAATTACTATCGAGACCAAAGATAGCATCGCATATAGCATCGAATAATGAGCGTAATTTTTCCATAGCTCCGTCTATAATGAAAAAAGGAACGAAACGAAAAAAAAATTGTACAACTTGGATTAGTTGCGGCGCAGATTGAGTTTTTTTTGTGGGGTTGGTTGATTTGCTTGATTTTGGATGAAATGGGGGAATAAAAAGATTGTTTTTTTTATAGATTTTTAAATTATTCAAATATTTGGCGTTTTCTTCTTTTTTTTTTGAATTTCTTTGTCAACAACAATCAATGAAAATGAGTTGAGTCGGTCGCTTTTCCTTCGGCTTAACTAGGAAAAGCGATCGGTTCGGGGTTAGTGGTGTGAGTAGATTAAAGTACAGTAGAGCAACTACGGCTTGGTAACAACAAATGCGAAATACACTGAGAAACACAAACTACGGGCTTAACTTGAAACGAGAGGGAGTAACTAAATTCAAACTAACAAAAATAAAACCAAACTAAAAGTGACTCATTTAAATCCAAACTGTCTTCGGCGAAAAAGTCCGAAGTACGAAGATATTCTTGCTATTGATTGGGGAGACCTTTGTATCGCAAGGATATCGATTATACGACGATTGATTCGCATTTTCAAAAGCTTAACACAAAAACGTTGCAAACTTTCTGGCTGATAAATAATAATAAATAAATAAAATGTGATTACAAATCAATAAGGAATTAAAATCTCTTTAAAAATAAAACAGTTTTGAAAATTTTGTTTAGATAAAATTAAGTTTTAAAAAAATAATGCAGCGTTTTTGTTTAAAGATAAAGTGAACGTCGAATCGTTTTTCTCAGCTAATTTCAACAATTTTAAACTAAATATTCAAAAATACTCAACAAAATAATGCAAATGATCATATAATGGTTTTGAAATTCAAAACAACAACAACAAAAAGCAATTAAAAACGTAAATTATGATTTCAAATAAAATAAATGGAGGGGTTAAGCTAAATCTACTAAAAAAAATTTCGGATAGAGTTTTTGCACATTTGTTGCTTGGCTTTGGTAGAAATGATTGTAAATGTAATTATATAGATATTATAAAATTCCTTATAGGTCCACACTGAAAACACTGAACAGGCACGGAAAAAAATAAACAAAATAAATTTGTGATTAGGCGTATTTTTTTTTTTTGCGAGCACTAGGCAGAGATGAGTAACAACAAAAAAAATACATAGCTTAGCACACAGTATTCACTTGAAGAAAATGTTGTTATGAAATACACTGGCAAAAAAAGTTTAAAAAAATAGTTTTGTTTTTTTTTCCTTTTGCACTGGAACCGATAAAGGGGTGTATGGGTTCAGAGAGAGAGACAACAAGATGGTTATGGTTTGTGTCTTTTTTATCGTCGGTTTTCAATCCATTCAGAAAAAAAAAAATCACATTAAAAAAAAGAGAAAAAAAACGATGGGGGTTTATGAGAGGGGTTTGAGGTTTCTTTTTTTTGTATGTATAGGGCAGCACCCCGTTATCGTTTCGGTTGAGTGCGCGCATACTTACCATGCGCCTTTCACTTCTTTCTAATCACTTTCACAGTGTCTCTCTCTGTGTCTCTGTCTGTCACACAGCCGTCCGCCTCTCTCTGTCTCTTGAGCCTGGGTACTGTAACTGTAACGGGAAATCTGCACTCGCGCTCTCGTTCGTACTCGCTCGCACGCACGCGTGGTAGATGGGGGGATGGTGATATCCTGCCAGCTCACTCACTCGCCATCTCATTCGCTCATTGCTACCAAAGCAGGACACTCGCACACTCGTACACACACACACACAGACTCATTCGAACACACAAGGCAGATTAGCAAGATCAAAAATAAAAAAGAAAAACAAAAAAAAGTAGTGGAAGGAGCGTGGGAGAAAAACTTCCCGTTGTAGAATATATAGAATATATATATGGCATCCAGGTGTATTTTCCAACACTGCGTTTTTTTCAAATTTGCTTGAACTTGAAAAAAAATAAAAAAAATTTGCGGTTTTGGTTTTTGTTTTTATGTTTGTTTTGCTTTTCGCCTTTTTATTATATTCGGTTTCTCTGGTCACACTTTCGGGTTGTTTGTTTTATATGCTTGATTTTCGTTTTGAATGCTTTTAACGCACTACAAACTAAATAATTATTAAAATTTAACGCTATTTTATAGAATAGGTTTCATATAGTGAAATATATATGTATATTATATAAGTATATATCTAAATAGGGATTTTTTTTCTTGTTAATTTTTCATGTTTTTCGTTTTTGTCGATATATGGATAAAAACTTGATGATAGCGAGAAGTTGAAAAACTGAAATAATTGCGTTTTTGTTGGTTTTCGATTTTTGTTCTTGTTGTTTTTCTTGCTGTGGATTGTAGTTGTTGTTGTTGTCGCTGGTAAAGATGGGTAAATTATAACCAAAAAAAAAAGTGGTGGCGTGATTCGATTTCGAAATTCTTGATGCGATCTGAAGATGCTGAAGAGGTGGGTGGAGAGCTAAAAGGGGGTTACAGGTTTATATGCTCGGCAACGCTTTTGTAATTTTTACTCCTTTAAGTTTGCATTTTTATATCGTAAATTGTTGATTTTCTTTTATAATTCAGTTCTGATTGCTTGGTTGCAATATTTATTTCATCATCGGTTGTTTCGCACCAGTCTTTTGTGAACAGGAAAAAAATTAGCAAAAAAAAACCTTCAGGAACAAAAAAAAATTGCACACTCTTCTCCTCTCTTCGTTGAAGTGGGGGGGGTTTTCCTTTGCAGATATATATATAATTTATTTGTGATTTAAGCTTGGTTTTGCTTTCTTTAATTAGGTATCGATTCAGTCCTTGGTTGATTTATCTCTTTGTTGTTAATATATATATTTCTTATTATGTGCTTTTCGGTGTATTATTTTTATCAAAAAAAATTGCAGCTTTTCGCTGGCTCATTGTGCTGTGATTTTATTCTAAAAACCATCTATTTCCGGAAAAAAAAATTGTTCCATTTTGGAACACACACACTTTAAAAAAAATAGTCAAAAAAATGTTTTTTTGCCAACACTTTTACGCGAACTTTTTTCTAAGTGCTAGTTTCCCGTTTCGCCTGTATGTGTGTGTGTTTTGTGAGTTGATGTGTGTAACTGTGTGTGTGTATTCTGTTGTCGTAGTTGTGAAATAAAAGCTTAAGATTCAAAGACCTAAACAAAAAACGTTGATAACTTCCGTTTTTCTTTTAAATTTTATGTTAGTATCTAAAAATACGATTTTTTTTTAATTTTTTCAAATAATTAGTTTTTTGTATTTTTTTGTAGGGTTTTTTGTATTAATTTTTTAATTACACTAAATAATAAAAGGTATAATTCAATTTTTGCTCTCTTTCCAAATATACAACATATATATTAGTATAATATATATGCGCAATGCATGTATAAATTTGCAATCGATTGAATTATTTACTTTACGAATATTACCAAGTTAAAAGCAAAGAATAAAACTAGGTATGCATTTGTATTGTTGTTGTTGTTAGTGATTTTTGTTTGTTGTTGTTGTTGTTGTTGTTGGATTGGTGTTTGTAGCCTGCTGTTTTGTTGTTGTTGTTTGTCAAATACAAAAAAAATGAACCAAAATGAATCAAAGGGCTATATAAGATGTATAACACTCATGGTATATATATATATTATATACCATATACATATAATATATGTGGCTTTTTTTCTGTGTGTAGCTTGTGTGTTTCATCTTGTGTTCGTTTCTGGATTTTTGTATTTGAATTTGTATTTGCATTTCAGATAAACTTTTTAGCATCGAAATAGGGATGCGAGTTTTGGAAGCGTTGCTGTGATTTTATTGATCTACCTCTGTGCACCATATTGTTGAATCCGGCGGCCATATGCGGCGGCGGTGGTGGCGGCGGCGGTGGGACATTCGGCGCAGCCACGCCCATCTGGGACATAAAGTGCGCCGCCTTTGCCTTGCCATGCTCCTCGGCCAGCCGGACGGACAGTGGCTGCGATCCGCCCTCGGGTATTACGTTGTTCAGCGCCGATATGGCCTCCTGGGCCTCCTCGCGCTTGTTGTACCTATATAGTTTGATTTTCATTTGATTTGGATCGTCGTAGAGAGGATGGCAAAATGAGCGATGTTACACAGTAAGAAAAAAAAAAGAAAATGAGAGAAAAGAAAGAAAAAGCACATGATGAGCCGGGTGTCGAAATAATACAAAGTAGGGGTTAAAATAAAAAGCGAGCCAAGAGGATACATTCGAAAGGTTCTTCGAGTCGATAATGATAGCTGATATTTTAAAACAAATTATCGAATCAATATTGCGAAATTATCGAAAATATCGATCATTTGAAAAAGAATGATAATAAAGGTTTTCTTACATTTTCTTAAAAGTTACCTCGAAGAACCTCGAATTGTATGTATGGCTTCTGATTTTACAAATCTTAAAATCCAATAAACTATATTTAGGACTCACCGAACAAAAGCCACGCCACGTGGACGACCGGTGAGCTTGTCACGCAAGATGTTCTTCTGCACAATGGAACCGTACTTGCCGAAGATCGTGTCCAGCTGATCATCGGTTATGGTGCGCGGCAGATTGGTCACATATAGATTGGTGTCCTTGATCGATTCGCCGCCGGGACGGGCATAGGAAACCTAAAGTGGGGGTTAAAAATAATGTAATTAGTAAACTCTTTAGTTTATTGGAGTGTTTAATAACCACCTTAAGCCGCTTGTTGCGCACTGTGATTCCATTCAGAACTTTAATCGCACGCTGCGAGTCCATTTCCGATGTGAAGTCCACGAAAGCATAACCAAAACTGTAGCCAGTCTGTGTGGGGAAATGAGAAAACGGGTTAAGTTGGGGTTAAATTTAAGTTAGGTTAGGTTAGGTTAGGTTACGGGTTATATTTATAACCACAGGATCTTGGTTACTCATGTTTTTTAAGAAGATTTTAATCAAGATAAAAGAAGAACTAAGTTAAGTTAAGGTTAAGTAAGGGTTTTAAGACAAATTTGATTTTCTTAGGAATTTTATCTTGATCTTTTAAGAATTAAAATGAACTCACCTTATAATCTCTCATGATTCTGCACGTGTTGATGGGTCCAATGGCTCTGAATAGGGCGTACAGCTCGCGATCGGTCATGTCCTGGGGCAAGTAGTTGACAATCAGGTTGGTGTTGCTCGCCCGCGGATCGTTCATCATCATATTGAGATCATCGCTACCGCCGCTGCCCAGCGACAGGCCGCATAGGTTGTTCAGCGAATTGTTGCTGGCCATCGGCGGCAGGTGGCACATGTTGCCGCCGCCAAGATTGTTGGCACTGCCGCCGTTTCCGCCGCTACCGCCGCAGCCGGGGAAATCATTGTAACCGCGACGCGACGAGGAACTTGGAAATGAAAATTCTGTATCCTGTGGCGAGAACGCATAACGTGACTGTAATCAGATTAACCATACAAAGATATTCTAGTGTTGTGAGAAGGCCTCATATCGCTTTTGTCTTGGGGGTTGTTGATTATAATGATAATTATCATTATTATTATTATTAGTAGATTGATTGGATGGTTCAGTTTGGTTTGGTTGTTCGGCTGCTGCTTGGTTGTTTTATTTCTCGAGATCTCGAACAACAACACACACAACTTGGTTAGTAGATGAGGTGGCGAGGATTGGTTCAAAAACGTAGAAATCTACGACAAAACGCTAGCAGTAACAGTAGTATTCCAAATGCAAATCTCTCGCAAAAAAATCCTTATTTCTTGAATTATTTTTTTTTTTGTGGTTAATTTTTAAGGCGTGCTTGAAACTCGAGTGCAGCGATTTGTATTGTATCTTTAATTTTTGATTTAAGCATTAAATCGAAACATTCTCTTGCTTCACTGTACTTCCGTGTGTGTGTAGGTATGTAAGTTGTCTGTGTGTGTGAGCTAAACGGCATTCACTGGGTTGCACAAAAACCAAAGACAAAAAAAATATGGAATTTCAAGAAATGCATAAAATGTTTCTTCCCTTCTTCTTTAGTTTTCTTAAGCTTCTTTAGTGTCTTGTGTTAGGTACTTTTTCTTTAGTTTATTCTTGAGGGTGTGTTTTTTGTGAGGTTGTCTCAGTGTCATTGAGAAATAGGGGAAATACAGTGCTTTACAAAAATATAATGCCAATGACAAGGTGGTAAACAAAAAAAATCGATAGGTTTTAAATTTCAATAAATGGAAAATTAAATGGAAAAATGCTTTGGAGGTTTTTTTCAAATAAACAATTTGTTGTATGAAATATGATATGATATCATGAAAGTAAAGATGATTTTTAATAATGAAAATTAAAGTTAGAAGGTTTTTCTCTTATGATTTTTTGTACATGATTTAAAACCATGACTTTAGGTATACCCATTTTTTTTTTGCCAAGTACTGTAAAACAAAAGTGCGCAGAACGCCAAACGGAAGCCAAAGCCGAGGCGGAAACGGAAATGGAAACGGAAATGGGGCGGACAAGGTGGCAGGGTGATACCTAAAGGTTTTCTATACTATAGATTGTCTTTGCTTTTCATGGCACATGCAAGTGTTAGTTTGAGTTTGAGTATTTTTGCTTGGCATTTGTATGTTTCTGTGTTTCATTGTTTGGTTATTTCTATTTAAGGGTTTTTTTTTTTGGATATTTAAAAAGTTGTTTGTGTTGTTGTTGTTGCTGGTTAGTTTTTGTTTATGTTTATCTTGTTTTTGTTTCTGTTTGTTTAGGTTTTGTTGTTTAAATTGCAAACTTTAACTTTGTTGACTTTTATTATTATCAATAAACCAAATAAAATTGTTCAGCATCCATAAAATAGTTCAGTTAGGTTTTTAGTATTGTTTTGTTTTTTTTTTTTCAAAAGCGTGTGTCCCCAGAGCGTTCATGAGACAAACTCAATAACATACAACTATGAAATAGTAAAAGGCATAAAATTTATATTATTATTGTTATGATTATCCAAAAATAATCAAAATAAAAATAAAACGAAACAGAACAAAATACAAAAGTCAGTCAATATCAAATGCATTGCCTTCAAATTTGATTTTTAACTTTTTTTTAATATTTCTTTGATTGATTGCTTTCATGCAATTGAAAATGGAAATTTGTCGCTAACAATAATTATAAATTTCAGGCGTAAAATGGAGTATAGAAGAGTGATGAATACTAACCATTCCGGATGGTAGAGAATGGGACATGCCAAATCCACGCCCACCGCTATAGGATGATGATTCGATGCCATTTCGTTTGGGGGAAAGAGAAAATATCGATTAGCATTCAGGGAAATGATGATGTTGTTGGTTTTTTTATTTTTGGTTCAAGTAAAATACTATTTAAAATTATCAAAATTAAATGTATAAAGCGCAATTTACTATATATTTCTTTTTTTTTAGCTATTTTGTAATTATCTTAAAAATGATTAAGAAATGTTTTGGCGTTGGATGATTTGACGATTCTTTTCTTAGCAACTAACTTAGGCTTACACAACTAACTTGTTTTCAAGACTTAGGCTTAATTTAAAAGAGAATTTAAAAAAAATAGCAAGACAGAAATTTGATTTGAAAGATTTTGCAGTTTCTTGGGGAATATAACATAGCATAGACCAAATGAAAGATCCCTTAGTTATATTCACCCGTGAATTCTGCAAAGCCCCCCGTTTGCCATTAAAGTGAAAACACTGGGTTTTCACTTTAAATATTGGCACTTAAGAAAAGCATGATGTATTTTTTTTGTTGTACTTTCGATTCACCGAAAAAAAAGAAAAAAAATAATCATGGGACTATACTAGTAACCCATTATTTAATTCCAATATCGGACACTTTTTTTTGTTTAGAACACATTTCACTTTAAAAAAATCAAAAAAATAATCACTTTTAGCACTTGTTATTTGTATCACATAAACAAAAAAAGAATATAAGTTTTGGATATTTTCGGACACCGCCTTTGGTCTTCCCACGTCGAATTTTGATTGCAGATCGGTATTAATGTCTAAGTTAGGGCTTATATTGATTTTTATAGTATTTTTAGGTTTAGGCTGTATTGTATTTGGTATCCCCAATATTTCATTATATTATTATTATTTTGTTTTTAGCTTTTCGCTATATAGGTGTCTTAGAGTCTTTTTACTTACAGGGATTTGGAGGCGTCCTCGATTCAAAAACATTTCGTTTCGTTGGGCGAGGAGACCCTGGGGGGCGGTTTGCCCCCCGTGCAAATTAAAACTACATACTATCTAAAGAGTCAGTGAGTGTCTTTCGCTTTCGCTTTCGCTTTTCGATGCTGATAATGGTGGCTGCTTCTTTCTGGGCTGTGGAAAAAAATGTCTACACACGATTAAATTCAGCTGCGGTACAACGTCGATGATGGGCGTTACATAATTTTGCTGGAGGGGGAGTTTTGGTTTTGGTTCTTGTTTATGATTTTGGAGTGTGTGTGTGTGTGTGGTGTGGTGTGTATGGGCAGTAAGTTCATAATTTCCTTTGTATTTTGCACAATATGTACGAAAAAAAAAATGGGAGACTTAAAAATCTCAAATATTCGCTGGCAAGGTCACACTGATTTTGTGTTTCTTTTTTATTTTGCACAATAAAAAAATATGCAAAAAAAATAGGGTGAGACGGGGAAATCTCAATTATTCGTTGGTAAAGTCACATTGTTTTTTTTTTTTCATTTTGCACAGTAAAAAAATAGGCAAAAAAAATAGTGTCACTAAAAAATCTCAAATATGCGTTGGCAAGGTCACTCTGCGCTGGTGTTGATTGTTGACATTGTTGATTGATGCGATGCTGCTTGCTGCTCTGCTTGCGGTTTGGTTTGATGTTGTAGTATTTGTAGTTGTGCTGGGCTTTTTTGATGACCTTGAGCAAATGTTGCATTTGCATTTAGCCTTTTATTCATTTTTGCTGCTACTCTCGCAAGTGCAAGAGAGATAGCCAGCACAGGGACTCGGAGAGAGAGAGATAGAGAGAGTGGGGGGTAATGGCAATTTGTCGGCTATATGCATTGGGATACGTCGGGTGTTCGGGGTTTTCGGGGTGTTGGGGGTGAGAGAGTGAGATGGCGACGCAATAACCACAACAACAACCGGTGCTTAAGGCTAGTTATAAACTGCAAAATCTCCCAACACATGCGTGTGAGAGAGAGACAACCATACGTATATAACTTAAGGCTACTGCATGTCAAGGTCCTGACACAATTTCCGCACAGCACGTGATGCACTAAAATTTGGAGGGGGCCACAGGGCAACCCTCTGTGTGGTTGCTCTGTTTACATTTCATCGACTCTGCTGAATAATGTGCCATAAATTATACGACCCGAAAAAAAGCAAAAGAAACAGCATATAAAACTGCCACGCTGCTGCTTTTTCCCCATTTATTTTATGCCCTAGGATGATCATTATAAAAATCAGACCACTGCTTGACCCCGCTCTCCATTTTTTTTTGGCAGCAAAAAACAGTCAATTTGTCATTTCTTAGGCAAAACTTAAAGCTTACGTTCTACTGAAGATCTGACGATGGAAGATATATGGACAATGCGAGGCGAGAAAAGAAAAACTGACTGAAAAAACAAAGAACTAAACTCAACTCAAGGCAATTAAGGCAACAAAGTAAATATATATTTTTCTAGTACAGTTACGCCAAGCAGTAAGTGTGGAACAGAGACAAAAGAAAGATAGAAAGAGAGAGAGTTAGAGGAGTTTCAAGAACATTTACCGGTACATTGTGAGACTGTTTAGGTTGCACAATCCGCACGATGAGAACGTTTTTAGGCCGTTTCTATAATCCTCTTGCCACAAACGAAATGCACAGATACGGATACATGTATCTGCCTTGTTCTACGCGTATATATATGAAGAGATATATATATATGGAGTAGTTCCGATTCCCAGCGGAATCAAAACTTATTTTTTTCTGGCCCAGACATGGCGCCGCGCTCGCTCTTTATAAATGCAATTCGATCTTATAAATGGTTTATGTGTATATATATATTATATATTTAATATATGGAAGATTGCGTTACTTTACGTTGTTTCACGATGCTCGGTTAACATTTTTTGTTAGCATATATTGCTTATCATTTATCACATACAACTGTAAATATATAGGACAAAAATAAAGCATGTCGCGATTACGAAAAACACGCAGACGACGATCATCTGATTTATAGGTGATTTTAGGATTTTAGGTGTGTGTGTGTGCGAAAAGTGTAGGTTAAATGCGAGCGCATGAATGTATGCTATGAAAAAACTAGATCGATCGATATTATATGGAAAATTACAGCTAATGTTTAATGAAAAAATTAACAACTTCTAGGAAGAAAAAAAAAACAATGATATTACAATTGGGAGCGGAGCTTTTTAGGGGGTGGGCTGTAGTAGGCTGTACTTATAAGCGGGGTTCCCCCCGATAACGATTGACTGTTTTTTGCTGCTCTGGCTCGCTATCTATCTGTGTTCATATGTGTTCGTTTGTGTTTATTGCCTCTGTATTTAATCGATTATTGGTCTCTTTTATCATTTTGCTTGCACCATCATCTAGTACATGTAACATTTAATTATACTTATATAAATCCTCCTTGCGGTCGGGTTGTTGCGGTTATTGTTATCCATTCCTGTGGCTGTGTGTTCGTTGCTTCTTTTTTTTCGCTCTGATAATATCAGAGCACAGAAAATAAAACAAAGAACCAAGTGAACTAAAAGCATACAATGTGCGGGTGGGGTGTGAATATGAAATGAATAAGGGGTACTTATAAGGGGGGTAGAGAAACACACTATATGATATCTTTTTTTTTTTTTGCCAGCGCTACGACATCGACAGCAAATCGATAACAATCTCGGAATATTATCGACTGGCAATCGACATCCTTCCCTGCACACATACCAATGCATATAGGCCGTTTTGCTAATAATAGAGATTTCGAACAAGCAAAAAAATTTAACTTTCATAACCAAAAAAGTACATCTAAATCTAAACCAAAAAATTAACGTTGGCTGTAAATGGTTGATTTTTTCAGCAACAGGGAATTTTCTTCTTCGTACAAACTATTCAATAAAAGGTTGGGTGGGTCTTTTGTTCGTTCGCCAAAGAGAATCTGGGTAGCAAAAAAATTAGGTAAACACTGTATCATCTTTGTTTTTTTTCTGTGTTGGTTGTATGTGTGGGAAAGAATGGGTGGAAAGGAATTGGAAGGAAAAGGAATACGGAATGGGATACTACAGTCGAAATTCTCTATCTTTCAAAAGTTACAAATTTATCAAAAGGGTTTTTAAATCTGGGTGAAAATATATTTAATATTAAAAAAACTACTTGAAATATTTGGAATTGGGTTTTTAGAGAAGTTCGACTGAATGTTTGAGTTTGAAATTCCAAATGACAGACTCAGAATCAAACGATAAAAAAATTAAAGGATATGGATATGGCTGACGGAACGTAAGAACTCAAGTTTAAAAATTTACCTCGACTTGTTGTTGTAGCCATATGGGGGATAACCACCGTTATTATTGTTACTACCCGGATTATTGTTGCCGTACATATCCTGAGAGTTGCGAGTGTGTGTTTTTCGAATCAACAAAAGTTACACCCTCGATCGAAGGTGAGTTTCGGTTTTGGGGGGGTTAAAGGATGATAATGATGATGAGGTGAGTTCTGGTGAGTTAGGATCGATCGTCTTCGATCACTTCCTCGAATCCTTTTTTTTTTGTTGGCGCTCAGCGCTCTCAGCTGGCCTGCTGCTGGTGTTGTTGTTGTTGTTTCTGTTGCTGCCTCTCTTCAACTTTTTCTGTATTGCTCTTCTTCTTGTGTGTTGTACTCATATATAGTTGTTGCTCTCTTACTTTCTTTCTTTCTCTTTTTTACATGCACACACACTGGTGCTTTCCTCTTCTGCTCTTAATTCCTATGGTTTTTCTCTGAGTGTGTGCTTATTATTGCTGTTCTTGTAGGCGCGCTGTTGTTATAGTTGTTGTAGTAGTTGAAGAGATGATAGAGTTGTTGTTGTTGTTGGTACTAAGAGTTGATTGATTCGATTTAGTTTTGATTGAATTTGGGGGGTGGTTGGGGGTAAGGTTGGGTTGGGGTGGTTCTACATTTATACGAAGGAAAAAAAACATGACAAAGACGTGATTTGTGTGCGACGCGAATTGTAGCGAATGAACAAAATATAATGGAAAACCGTTAACAAAATAGAGAGACGAGCTGAGTTTGTGTGTGAGTATTTAAAGCCAGAGTTGTCAAGCATTAAACAAAAAATATAAATAATTTTCACTGTTTAAAATACACTTAAAAATACACTTTTGCATACAGTCGCTATCTCAGCAAACCAATTACCCAGGGTTGCAATCCCATAGTTTAAAGCAAACTTAAAAATACACTTTTGCATACAGTCGCTATCTCAGCCAGGGTTGCCATCCCATAGTATAAAGCAAAAAAAAACACAAGTAAATATTCTGCGCATTTATACAATAATTTGACTAGCAATCAAGTGAAACAATCGAACTCCACATACCTGGCCATCTTAAAGTTATAGTAGGACGACATGGTCGAACAGGGAGTCACAGTATCGAAATTGAAATCCATTTTAGGATAATCACAAAGTTAAGTTAAGTTGTTTTTTGTTTTTTAACAAATTGAATGTAAGACACACAAGAAATCACAAGATCTCAGGACACAAGTTGGACTTGTCACGAGTGGAACTCGACTGAAGAGGTCCTGCCGCCCAACGATCTATTTAAGGATCGGATCGGAGTGGGCGGTGGGTGGCAGGTAGGCGGCAGGGCAAAGGAGGCAAGGTGCGCGTGCCAGTCGCGTGGGCTACCTAAGATCCCACGGAATTATTGATCCCGCGAGGAAGTGTGCCAGGCGTACTTTCTTGGGTGGCCGGCTGCATCTCGCGGATCCCCGAATTTTGATCTCCGCAGGCAGGCAGATGTGCCGCATTCTCGGAAGCTGGATGCTAAGACAAGGTGCAAACTTTTCCCTATGGTCCGGGTGGGTGGAAAATGCCGAAAGGTGGAACGTGGCAAGCTGCAAATTAATTACTTGGAAGCAAGCTGCAATTTTTTTCGCGACCCAACTTCTGAAGATCTCTTCTCTGAATATCTCTAAGGACTTGTAATACTTAGTCTACCGTTGATTAGATTCCTAGAACCAGGTGCAAGTTAAATGTATATTCAAGTATCATTAGGATTTAATCTTATGAGATAGATTTTAGAATAAATCTAAACTTTATCAATCAAAAAGTTATCTTATGTTTTCAAATCTAATCGAACTATTTAATATTCTTTTATTCTATATTTCAAACTCATTTTATTCTATCAATATATTGATGTCATTAAATATTAATTTACCTAACATAATGTTTTCCCAAAATTGTATTAAATACTTAAGTCCCAATTGATATCTTCCAAAATTTTATTTAAATAAGCCCCGATTGATCTCTATAAATTCTTCTTATCAACTTGTATAAAATCATATCACCATTTACTCTTAATCCCCATAAACATAATCTTCACCATAAATAACCCATTACAGATTTCATTTCCAAGCAGCCAAATTGCAGCTGCCTTTTTGCTCGGATTTCGGAAAAGGGCAGGTGAAAATGCAAATTGACCTCTCGCTTATAAAAATGACGGGTGGAAAAAATCTCGCAGCCCAAAATACGAAATACCAAGAACACAGTCCGCAGAGGAAAACTCTTAAACACTTTTCAGCAGAAACTTTAAGTCCGTGAAGACGTTTGGTTCACTCTTCTCGAGAGCTAAGGAATCTATTAAATTTGTTTATCTTAGACAAGAAAGTGGAATTGTGAATTTAAGATGTGTGAATAATTGAATTGAGCTACAGGTATTTATAAAATATATTCGGAGCTATGACTTCAAGTTCCTTCAATCTTTTTAAAACTGTGAATATGTACAATATCCTTTTTGAATTAAGGATTTTAAGGCCTATTAACGAAAATCTCAAACTAATTTTACTAATGTTTAGATACTAAAATACAAAACTATGCAAATTAATAAATCAGCCCTATTAAAACATAATAATGATCTAATATTCTTTGGCTACATTTTGAAATGTATTCAATGGTTATTGAATGTAAATATTTTGTATATATTTTTAGCCTAAGCGAGATAGTTTTTAATAAATTTCCAAGTTCATTAACGAATAGTTATACCAACATCCCTAAAAACCCAACAATATGTGTACCTTGAAACATTTCCAATGAGCTTTTTGCCATTATTTCCAGAATCAGGAAAGGAATCCCTTGGATATTATACATACATCCTCCATTTGGGATCCCCCAGCCAAAAAAAAAAAAAGAGCAAGAAACTTTTCCCATTTTCAAGGAAGCGCAAGGAGGAATCCAAATATTTGGCAAGCCAGAGAACGAGGAAAATTGGAAAATGCGGAGCCAAGGAGACACAGAGAGAAAAAGAGAGAAAGAGTAAAAGAGGAGCCAGAAAACGAGGGCAGCAAAATGAGGCGCAAAAGGGGGCGGTGGAAAAGTGGGGCGGGACGGCCTAAATCGCTTTGGGTCGCTCAGAAACAGAAACACTCAAACCAGAAGAAGAAGAGGAAGAGGAACAGCGGGGTGGAATGGGGTGGTACGGTCACCAATTCGAGGGCTGATTTTCCCATGTACAAAATATACAGCAGATTGCCGAAAAAAGAATAAAGAAACAAACCGAAAACCCAGGGAAGGAAAATATATACAGAAATATATAAAACAGAGTGTGTACCTCGCTTTCCAGCGTGAAAATCCACAGAAAGCTGAGGAAAATGCGGAAATAGAGAACTGAAAAGCGTCACAGGCTGTGAATTTCGGGAAAGATGAAAATTGGGGGGCGGGGGCTACAAAAGGGTAACCTGAAGGTCGGTGGTCTCTCCAGGAAAAGCAAAAAAAATAAGAGAACCCAGAAATGAAAAGAAAAGCCAAACAAAAAAAGAGTAGCAAACGTTGACTCGACTTTCCATATGCAGATGGGTAAAAGCTAAATCACTGAGAAATCAAAAACCCAAAAAAAAAACAAAATAGAAAGTCCAACACGCACAAGAGTTTAAGGGAAAATTGATAATATCAAATAACCATTTAAAACTCTTTATAAAAAATTCTTCGTTTTTCTGTGTTGTTTTCACTGAAATTTATGGGTAAAGTACATTTGTACAATCAACAATAATAATATTAAAGACCTTCTAAAAATAAAACCTGTATAAAATATTTTTATTTTTATGCATTGTAAAAACTATACACGAAGTACAGGTATTCCATGTTTCAACAATGAGTTTATTAACTAAATATTTTTGTAAATTTATTTTTAAAACACATGTTTATTCAATGATCTACAAATAGGTCAGGCTTTATTGATTGAAATGAATGTAGCGCATTGACACCAATATGCAGACTTTTTTTCGCCAGTGTACTAGTAAATTGTAAGGCAATAACAAAAACGCTGAAAAACTTTACAGTTTGATAACAGTAGTCGGCTAATTTGGAGCACACTTGTGTAAATAGAGCAGCACTATTATGCACTGTGTGTGTGTGCGAAACAGCTGACAAAAGCCCGTATACAAATGGTATGTGTATGTATTGTATATCCAAAGATATACATGTATATATCTTTCTAACTGTCAGCTGGGAGAGTGAGTCATGCACCCGCGTGCATGAATGGATCTCAATCTCGAAAAAAAAATCACAACAGCATTGCCAGACGCAAAAACAACGATCATCGAACATTCCAGCTGATCGCCAGCTTGTATTGTTGTTATTTTATTGTTGTTATTGCTATTTCAAGTGTATCCAGTGGGGTTACATGTGTGTGTTTGTGTGTGTGTGTTGTCCAAAACATTGACGGAGCTTAACAGTGTACAGTGGGTACTCGAAACCCAAGGAAATTGGCTATTAATTAAGGTAAAACTTTAGTTTAAAAAATATTTTTAAAAACTGGAAAGATGATTTACCTTTGATTTAAATAGCATTTCTCTAAAAAAAAATTTGTTTTCATATTTCGAATATGAAATATACTTTTTAAAACTTTTTAACTGTTGAAAGATCACTGTACAGGAGGTTTTTATTGATTTCCCGACCAAATAAGGTAAAACGATCATGGGAAATGTGCAGCTTGTAATTTGCGCCAGGGAATGACCTCAGTGGAATGCAAAAATGTAGAAGTAGAGGAGAGAGAAGGGGCTTTGGGTGGGGGTAGGGGGTACTTGCTACCACTTTTCCAATATTCCAATACATTATTTCTTCCCAAACGATCGTTGCGATGTCATTGCCAGCAGAAAGAAGGGGAATGACCCGCGGAGAAGAGGAGAGGGAGCAGAAGAGAGGGCAAAGGAGGAGCACAAGAGACGGAGAGGAGAGAAATGCAATGCAGCTGCCCCTCCCCTCCCCTTCCAGCCAGCTGCAACTTGGAAAACAAAAAACACGGCAGCTGAGCGTGCGAAAGATAGCGAAAAACAGAGAGAGCGAACTTGGAGTCTCTACCTGCCTGGAAAATCCTTGATCCCTTTTCTTCAATGGGAAAAAAAGGGAGAAAGCCATAAAACCAAAAAGGCGCGTGTCGTTAATGAGGATCTCTAAAGCTACATAAACACCGATCGAAGAAATGGCAATTATTTTAATTGCAAATGCAGTACAATGGCATATCTTATCCAAGAGAAACCCACAAAAACGAAAAAAAAACAAAAAAAAACACGTTGCCTTGAACAATAACAGCTGGCAATGCCTTCGTCGTGAGGGGGTCGCCACAGTGCGGCGCAGAAAAATAGTTTCAAAAATAAAAGTCTACTAATTATAAAAGATTTAAAGATGTTTTAATGTCTGTAGAAATATTTTTTTTTCGAATATTCGTTTCTTTTTTGGCTAAATATTTTTTTTACAGATTGTTTTAACTTCTTTAATTATGTACTGCTTTTACTATTTCGTACACTTACTTGTGAAGACTTTTCGCAACTACGACTGAAGGCAAACCATTTTTTTCTCCCAGGACAATTCAAAAACTCCACTTAATGCGCAGCAAAAAACACATGGTGCGATATATTCATAAACAGGAAACACACAACTATGTATGTGTGTGTCCAGGATATGCATATAAGTGCAGCGGAACTAAAGGAAGTGAAAAAAGGGACGCAATAAAAACCCAGGTAGAAGTGAACCCATTTAGGGACATTTATTGCTGGACGCGACTGTATGCATGTATTGTTATTGTCTTTTTCGTTATTTCTTCTGCCCTTGCTTCTTGTTGTTGCTGTTTCTCTGGCCAAAAAGCTGTTTCTTATACCAAACACTTACCCATTTGTTGTTATTTGGTTAAAAAACTAGATGTTAAACAAAAGAATTAAACACTCACACAAGCAGCTGCTCCCCTCTCTTTCTCGGTTAAGTATTTTTACAACCTACTGCTTTATGTACATATGTATGTACTATGTACATGTGGTATTTGGGCGATGTATGTTGCTATGTACTACACGACTGTAACGGAAACAGAAAAAAAAAGAAAAACAGAGTGTAAGCGAATGAATCGGCGTGTGCGTGTGTGCGTTTCGGGTATATACATACACGCACGCTCTCTCACGTAGACACAACGCACACACGCACATATGTACATGCGAATGACGAAGCCGCAAACACAGGAAAAAAAGTAGTACATAAAGTAACAACAACAGCAACGAGTGGATGGAAGAGAGAGAGGGCGTTGTTGTTGCTGCTGCTGCTGCTAGTGGTGGGAAATGCTGAATGGAATTTTACAACATGTTTTTTCGGCTCGTTACTCTTTTTGCCCATTAACTCGAAAAAAAAGAAAATACAGAAAAAAAAAGGAACAAAAACAGCGAGTATTTATGTATATTTATGCTCTCTACTCGCACTCGCTCTAGCAGAGCGTATGCTTGTATGCGTGCAGTACCAAACCAAAAAAAAACAAGTACAACTTGAAAAAAGAAAAGAAAAACTCTGTACTATTCTATAGCGAAATGATTTATGCGCATTTTCACAATGTCTGCGTGTTTTCCACTATCATTCGGCGCTTCTCTTTCGCCGTTTGTTCATTCGCTTCGTTATATACACTTCACGTCACGCTAGAAACCCTGTATGTATATGCACGACGTGCTGTCTCTGTGTGTGTGTATTGTTTTTTCGCTGGGGTTTTCCCTACTTTATTTTTTCCCACTACGGCATACGGCACACAAAACGTAGTCTTTGTCGTGTTTTTTAGCGTTCAACTTGGGCACTTTTAGTAGATTTAGATTTACGTGGCGAGATGATTACCAGAAAAAAATTCACTGCGCGGACTGACTTTCCTCGCTCGGCAACAACAAAAAGCAGTGTGCGAGTCGAAACTGTGTTGTAGGGTATCGTAGGGTGAAAAAGTACTCGAAAGTGCGACCTTTTCTGCGTTGGTCGAAAATACTCGAAAATACTCGCTGGTAATCGATGGTTTTCGCCTCTGCTTTGGCGCGCCTTCTTCAATTTTCCCATCCCTATCGCCCTGCTCTTAACAGAGCTCGCTCTCCGCCTAACAGAAAATGTTAAAATGCAACGTTTTCTTACATTGGCAGAGCAGCGACATTTCTGTTAAGTTTTCGAGTGTGACCAAGCAAAGCCAGCCAAAAAAACATAGGACCCCGCGTTGTTTTTCACATCTCTAATGTAAAGATACGTGTTAACAGAAACGTTTGTCTTACATTCTTTGGCGCTCAAATGTTAGATTCAAAAATCACTGTGCAGCGAAATTGGAGGAATTTGTCTCAACATTTCTGTTCATAAATCACACAAGTGAAAATACTTTTGCTAGAGATGCGATGGTATTTCCTTGCCAATCAGCAATTGTCAGCTTTCAGTTGTTTGGCGCGCTCCAATGTTGTATTCAGGATGTTTAAATTAAATTGAATTTAATCAACATTTTATTAGTTTTACAATTGAATTAAGCCTAGATTTGGTCAACTGCTATACTTTCGTTCATTTAGTTAAACGGAAAAGTTAACATAAAATGTTACGACATAATGTTAGCTTCAACATTTATGTTAAAGTGTGAAAAGGCGCAAAGTATATAAATACTGAAAATCCCACCGTATTATACATACTGAATTATTTAAGCAGTATCTTGATTAGTTGTTGATTTTTTCATTAATAATTTGTAGTTTGTTGTTTGCGGAAAAGAATTGTAAAAATTGTACAATTCATAAATAATAACTAATAATTATTAAAATACTTATAAAATAAATAAAGTTCGACTTAGGTTTAAATAACCATAAAAGCACACAATCGTTTTTGCTTACAACGTTGCACTATTAATATTGGCAATTTGTATGCTGACTTGTAGGGTATGCTATAAAAGTTAAGATATGTTTTAAACTATTATTGGACGCTGAATTATAAAATCTCCCTTCTGAATTGGAGTTTCACACTTGTCAAAAACCCTAAAATCCTAAACCGCTTCCAACGGATGGAAAAAAGTGGGAAGAGGGTGTAAAATTGGAAATTAAACATCGATGTAATGCCGTTTCAAGAACATCGATGCCATCGATAGTGACACCTTTTTTTTTCGTTCACCTCTAGGCCAAATTCAGTAGGCTCAGACTTCTCATATTTCGTTTGGTCTTTCGGGACCACAACACCCATCAGCGGTGTTTTTATTCCAGTGAGGGGAATATATACCAATTGCAGTTTCAATTACATTAGTATAACAATTTCAATTACAACTAATATTTTTTATTTTGTATTAAATATATATTTTTATATTTCTTTTCCATTAGCTCGAACATGGCACACAGCGGCTTTTTCTCCTTGATAATGGGGTTTATAAAGGTGCAGTGTTCTAGCTTGAAGAAATCTTTGATTTCACACAAGCAAAACAAACGTGAAATTTATTTCTTACTATGCTAGTCACTTTGAACATAAAATCTTACATTATACATTAGTATAACAATTTCAATTACAACTAATATTTTTTATTTTGTATTGAATATATATTTTTATATTTCTTTTCCATTAGCTCGAACATGGCACACAGCGGCTTTTTCTCCTTGATAATGGGGTTTATAAAGGTGCAATGTTCTAGCTTAAAGAAATCTATGAGGGTCTGTCCGACACCCAACAGCCACTCCGCCGTTTTCTCCTGCTTTATTACCCCAAACAAGATTGGCCAAATCGTAGGTTTTCAGAAAGGTCGAAAATTAGGCCTATTAAGGTAATGGCTGACACTTTACGTTTCAGATATTCAGAAATATACCCGATTAGTTGCACTCTTCACATTTTTTTTTGGAACTTCGGGACCACAATACGCCTATCAGCAGTGTTTTTATTCCAGACCATTTTTTGTTTTATTTTTTTCGGAATGTAATTCCTTACTTTAATTTTGTTAGGCCCACGTTCTGTGCTTCCTGAGCTCAACGACACCCAGTCCGTTGTTTTTTTCTGCTTTATTACCACCCCGAACAAGATTTTCCATACCGCCTGTTCTCCGGCATGGCTTTGGCATATGGGGATCTTCGGGCCTTACACTCGCATATGGCGGTTCTCCGGAATTTCGACCATTTGTTTCCGGATCCGGGATAGTTTTCTCTCGCTTTCGGGCATTGTCTTAGCATACGGAGGCCTAGTGTCCGGTTTGCCACCAATTCGATCTTCACATTCGACTGAATCCACTACTGTCTTGTTCTCTGCGTCGTCCTGGATGGGGAAGATCTCGACCACCTCGACCTCACCTGTACTGCCTAGTGCATTTTGCAATGTGCAAATCCGAAAGTATAGGGCATCAGGTTCCTGCATTCGAGGAACAAGCAAGGCTTCTGCTATGATGGCCAGGTCGCTGCACACATAATCAGAGAAGGCCCATTTAGGGACCCTACTTTGGGTGCAGTAATTCATATTCTCATAAAACTTAATAGACATTATAACATTATACTAATAACTGAGAAGCCATTCTCGCCGCAATTGCCATGTGCATAAAACCGCAGCGAAGCTATGGATTGTAAACTGTGCCCTTCCGATTGGGACCATCTGCATCATCCTGGCCGTATTCCACTTTCACATCTTTCCCCCGATCATCGTCCTACGTCGGAACGAATCAGAAGCAAACAAAAGTTGAAAATTGGCTAGTTAAAATACTTTTTTATGTTCGCTCCTTTTTAGCGTTGTGTTGATACTTTTCGATAAATCAACATTTTTTTCGCGGCGATTTTGGTTTGTACTTAAACTATCAATTTAACATGACCATTCAAAAGAAAAGTTATTTTTTTCACTTTTCATAATTTAATCATTTAATAAAAATCATTAAAGGAAAAAATATTTTATAGATCTCTTAAATCTACAACTTTTGTCCAAAGTATTTTTTGATGCTATTAATATTTTAGCAGGTAATGAATAAAATCATCACAAAACAACGGCGCCACAAAGGATTTTTATGTGTTTTTCTCGTGAAGCCTAGTACTCAGTTCGGCTAAGAGTTTCACTAGTCGAAAAATATTAATCATTTAGTGTGACCGAAGTTTTCGGAGTTCATCCGCAATGCATGTAGCATGGTCTTACTCTCAGCAAACAAATCAACTGGCGCCAATTTTAAAATATTACAAAACGTTGAGCCGACCTGGGTCGCAAGCTTTAAATTCCCTGTTGGAATGGCGATATGTATTGCAGCAACTCCTACAGGCAGTTTTCCATTGGTTTTTGTGGTTTTCCTTCCATTTATACATTGTTATTGGCAAACCGCTTCTGCACAAACACAGCCAAAGATCAAATTTTTTATTCTTTGGGCCGCGGCTAAAGGCGTTCATCGGAATTCATCCGCTAAGTCTAGTATTTTTTTGGTATTTCCTTACCATTTCCTTAGCTCAACTGAGTACCGCGGTGAAAAAAGTCTAGCTTAGCTACCTATTTGCCTCTCGCTTACTCCTATGCTTAGCTAGCAGTTTTCGTCGTACTGAGTACTAGGCTTAACCTGCTAAAATATTAATAGCATTAAAAAATACTTGTAGATTTTCAACTTTTGTTTGCTGATCAGGGGAAAAATATGGAAGTGGAATACGGCCAGGATGATGGAGATGGGTCCAATCGAAATTGCAGCGAGAAGGGCTCCTTAGTTATTAGTATAATGTTATAATGTCTATTAAGTTTTATGAAAATATGAATTGCACCAATTACTGCACCCAAAGTAGGGTCCCTAAATGTGATTATGAGTGCAGCGACCTGGCCATCATAGCAGAAGCCTTGCTTGTTCCTCGAATGCAGGCCCCTGATGCCTTATAATTTCGGATTTGCACTATGCAAAATGCACCACACAGTACAGGTGAGGTCGAGGTGGAACGCTCTTCCACTTTAAGCACGACGCAGAGAACAAGACAGTAGTGGATTCATTCGAATGTGAAGATCGAATTGGTGGCAAACCGGACACTAGGCCTCCGTATGCTAAGACAATGCCCGAAAGCGACAGAAAACTATCCCGGATCCGGAAACAAATGGTCGAAATTCCGGAGAACCGCCATATGCGAGTGTAAGGCCCGAAGATCCCCATATGCCAAAGCCATGCCGGAGAACAGGCGGTATGGAAAATCTTGTTCGGGGTGGTAATAAAGCAGAAAAAAACAACGGACTGGGTGTCGTTGAGCTCAGGAAGCACAGAACGTGGGCCTAACAAAATTAAAATGAGGAATTACATCCGAAAAAAGTATTGTGGTCCCGAAGTTCCAAAAAAAAAATGTGAAGAGTGCAACTAATCGGGCATATTTCTGAGTATCTAAAACGCAAAGTGTCAGCCATTACTATGCCAGAAGCGATCTATGATCTGAAACCAGATGTCAAACTGCCAGAAAACAGACAATATGGCCTGGTCATCTCGAATAAAAATTGTTGCGCCGAAGCAGACACTCGTGCGTAATAGGCCTAATTTTCGACCTTTCTGAAAACCTACGATTTGGCCAATCTTGTTTGGGGTAATAAAGCAGGAGAAAACGGCGGAGTGGCTGTTGGGTGTCGGACAGACCCTCATAGATTTCTTTAAGCTAGAATACTGCACCTTTATTAACCCCATTATCGAGGAGAAAAAGCCGCTGTGTGCCATGTTCGAGCTAATGGAAAAGAAATATAAAAATATATATTTAATACAAAATAAAAAATATTAGTTGTAATTGAAATTGTTATACTAATGTATAATGTAAGATTTTATGTTCAAAGTGACTAGCACAGTAAGAAATAAGTTTCACGGTTGTTGTGCTTGTGTGAAATCAAAGATTTCTTCAAGCTAGAACACTGCACCTTTATAAACCCCATTATCAAGGAGAAAAAGCCGCTGTGTGCCATGTTCGAGCTAATGGAAAAGAAATATAAAAATATATATTTAATAAAAAATAAAAAATATTAGTTGTAATTGAAATTGTTATACTAATGTATAATGTAAGATTTTATGTTCAAAGTGACTAGCACAGTAAGAAATAAGTTTCACGGTTGTTGTGCTTGTGTGAAATCAAAGATTTCTTTAAGCTAGAATACTGCACCTTTATTAACCCCATTATCGAGGAGAAAAAGCCGCTGTGTGCCATGTTCGAGCTAATGGAAAAGAAATATAAAAATATATATTTAATACGAAATAAAATATACTAATGTATAATGTAAGATTTTATGTTCAAAGTGACTAGCGCAGTAATAAATAAGTTTCACGCTTTTTGTGCTAGGATAGTAAAACAAAAAAATTAAATTAAAAATTAAGCACAGAACGTGTTCCTCAAGTGAATACTTTTTTATTATAAATAAAATAAGAAATGAATTAAAAACACCGCTGATGGTGTTGTGGTCCCGAAAGACCAAACGGAATGAGTCTGGCCTAATAAATTTGGCTAGTGATGAAAAAAAAAATGTCACTATCGATGACATCGATGTTTTTAAAAAGGCATTACATCGATGATTAATTTCCAATTTTACACCCTCTTCCTACTTTTTTCCATAGAGTCCATCCGTTGGAAGCAGCTTAAGATTTTTGACAAGTGTGAAACTCCAATTCAGAAGGGAGATTTTATAATACAGCGTCCAATAACAGTTTAAAACATATCTTAACTTTTATAGCGTACCCTACAAGTCTGCATACAAATTGTAAGCAAAAACGATTGTGTACTTTTATGGTTATTTAAAACTAAGTCGAACTTTATTTATTTTATTAATATTTTAATAATTATTATTTATGAATTGTACAATTGTTTTCCGCAAACAACAAACTACAAATTATTAAAGAAAAATCACCAAATCATCAAATCAAACAAGCTTTAAATTCGCTGTTGGAATGGCGATATGTATTGCAGCAACTCCTACAGGCAGTTTTCCATTGGTTTTTGGGTTTTTTGGGCTGTGAAAAATGGAACGATGACTGCGAATGACTGCAAATCAATGGCGGAAAAAAATTAAATAATGCTTAATTTCATTGTTTTTTGGCTATCGTTGAATTATTTGTAGCTTGTTATGAGCGGAAAAGCATTCGCAGGCAGGTTGCTATGAGTGGGCCAAAATGCTAGCTGTTCTGCATGCGAAAACATTAATGTTTGCAGCAAAGTCCCTGAATATTTTATGCACTTCAGAAATAATAACTAACAATAATTAAAAGTGTACTTTGGACTCCTAAATATTCCAACTGTTTCACACGGATGGACGCTATGGGAAGAGGGTATTAGGGAAAATATCGAATCTGGAAATATTACGATACGATGTATTGCCGTTTTTAAGAACATCGATGCCATCGATAGTGACACCTTTTTTTTCGTTCACCTCTAAGCCAAATTCATTAGGCTCAGACTTCTCACATTTTGTTTCGTCCTTCGGGACGAATAACACGCTCATCAACGGTGTTTCTATTCCAATGATGGGGAAAAATTAAAGTTCCAGATTGTAATAGTAATTCCCCCTTTTAATTCCTTTATTTATAAACTTTTATTGAATTAGTCGTTCTTCCATTAGCTCGAAGATGGGACACAGCGGCATGTCCTCCTCGATAATGGGGTTTGCGAAGACTCAGTGTTCCAGATCGGCACCTAACAGCCATTCAGCCGTTTTTTTCTGCTTTATGACCCTATCTGACCATCTTTGCAGACGGAAAATTTTTTGCGCATTTGGTTAGGTGGTATGATAGTCTGACCGGCATTATTCGGTGAACGCTATCATAAGGACACATAATATATTCTTCGAAATTCGGAGCAAAGTTCTGACCAGACATTTTTACCACTTCTTTTTATTGAAAATGTGGTTAATTCTCCATTTGCTTTCTCTATCGTACGGTGGTATGATAGTCTGACCGGCATAATGCGATGAACGCTATCATACGGACAGATTATGTATTCTTCGAAATTCGGAGCAAAGTTCTGACCAGACATTTTTACCACTTCTTTTTATTGAAAATGTGGTTAATTCTCCATTTGCTTTCTCTATCGTACGGTGGTATGATAGTCTGACCGGCATAATGCGATGAACGCTATCATACGGACAGATTATGTATTCTTCGAAATTCGGAGCAAAGTTCTGACCAGACATTTTTACCACTTCTTTTTATTGAAAATGTGGTTAATTTTCCATTTGCTTTCTCTATCGTATGGTGGTATGATAGTCTTACCGGCATTATACGGTGAACGCTATCAAATGGACACATTATGTATTCTTCGAAATTCGAAGCAAAGTTCTGACCAGACATTTTTACCACTTCTTTTTATTGAAAATGTGGTTAATTCTCCATTTGCTTTCTCTATCGCATTGCCAAATTGGGGTTATAAAACTTATTCACTAACAAAATAAAATTAAGATTTTCTTTAAATAACTACCGCCGAACCGCAACTTGTTCCACTTTTCGCTTCATTCCTGCTTTATTCCCCCATCTGACCATCTTTGACGATGGAAAGTTCTTGGCGCATTTGGCGCCCATCAGCGGTGTTTTCAATGGTACCTTATAAACCATGGTACTTCCCGACCATTTTTTATTTTATTTTTTTGGATTATAATTCCTATTTTTAAATCCTTTATTTTTAAACTTTTATTCATCCAAAAGGCCCATTTTTGCATGAATTAGCTTCTCCGTTTTTGTCTTCTGTAGTGCTAAATTCATGATTGCAAATCCGAAACCCGAAGGCATTAGGCGCACATAAAATCGCTAAAGGTATAAGCCCATCTGGATACCAAACTCTGTGCAGTATTTTGTTCGGTCGTTGTTCTCATGAAAATGAATAGACATTTTAGCATTATGCTGATAATAATATTTATTTAAAGAATATTACCTGACATGCGATATTTTACATTTATATTTTTTTCATTCAAGCCAGCGAAATGCCGGACTTCCAAATTATCGCTCAAGAAATTGAACATTGAAATTCCTTCAAATTTGCCATTTTTTTTGTAAAATAGTGTTATTTTAGAAGACAAAACAAAACAACATATTTTGCGGTTTTTCGAAGGACATGTTGTCAGCTTCGAAATAAGTATTAGTTAAATACAAGAATTCTAAAAATTAGAAAAATTAACTTTCTAAAGTTTATCCGAAAATCGAAAAAAGTACAGTTGACATATCCCGATAAATTGAGTAAAGACTATTCGATAGCTTCGATAGTCCAGCCTCTAAAAAATATAAATTTGTAAATTTTATCAAATATACCATAAACATGTGGAGGATGTCTCTGCTAAGTCACCTCTGTTAAGTGTTAACAGAAGCGGAGACCTAGGGAATACAGACACCTTACTTAGCGAGTGCACCTACCACAGTGGTTTATATACACTGAGCGTAACGGCACCGAAATCGATCGATCAATGCATATTTTTCTACAAAGAATTTTGTAAATCTATGTTCTAAAGATCTCAAATAATATTTGAAGCTCCCGTTTCGTAGTGACAGCGAAATGATCTATTTCCGTGCATTCAAAATTTCCTAATTTATTTTATTCTTATTAGTACACTTTTTTTTATAACTTTTAGTAATTGTTGAACAATTTCAATTACTTCTTGACATTTCTACAACGTTTGTTAATGGACAACTGCACTGCGGTTTTGGTTCCCCACTTCCTCGTGATCAACATTGTTGCGTTCGATCTTGTTGCGCCTTCGGAACTTAACGATAAGCACTTCAATGACCCAGGGAACGGCGCACAGGATCATGAAGCCGTTGAGGATATGGAAGACCAGAATATAGTCCTGAGTCCTGTCGCGAATAATTCCCACAATGGGGCCAATGAGGAACATGGCATTGCCTTGGGTGAACATGAACAAACCATAGCCAGTGGCGAACCTAAATAAGGATAATAGTTTGAAAAAATACAGGGATGAATATTATGTTAATAAATTTACATAAGATTGAAATGTACAAGGGATCAAAGTGATCATTCTTATGATCTTACACAAGTAAATTGTAAGAATATAATACCATATCCAAATCCTTGCATTTTCTTAGGTATACCTTTTTTTCTAGCAACCGGACCTACCTTTCCTTGGACAAGTAGTCCGCGAAGACCAGAGGCAATGGGACGTGAAGCCACGTTCGAAGAAATCCAATAACGGCCGTAATGCAGGCCATGCCCATAAAATCTGTGATCCCATTGAAAGCTGTGTTGGGTGATCAAGAGCATTATAATATTTTACAATATAGTTCCAGTTCCAGACAGTCTTTTGCTTACCGAATCGAGCGAAAACCGTTAGGACGGCCCCGGCCAAATAGATGTATCGTGAGGGAACTTGGATGCACACGGCCGTGATGGCCAGGAAAATTCGAGATGACAGGTCTGCGGCAGCTCCAATGGCTATAATAGTGGCAGTATCCGGCTGAAAGAGAATATGAAGATATTGATTATAATATATCATTTTACAAAACTCGTCGGTCACCTAGGTTAGGCATAATATGTTGAGTAAATTAATGGAAAAAGTCTTAGTTTTGAGCATTTCAATAAGTTATTTACGTTTTATTTAAATTTAAACATGAATTCCAACACGACAGGGATGGCGAACAAGTAGCAAGTCGATAAATCGGGCCTGCGATAACTATCGCATACAGTACCCTCCCTAGTCGGTGACTTTCTTTTGCTTCTTCTTCGTAGACGCCGGGCGAACTTTTTAAATATTTATCTCAAAGTGAAATTGGCGGCGCAATTGAATAAAAAGTGGTTAAATAATACAATTGGTGTTGCAACAACTGTACGCAGAGTCACTAGTTGCATATATCGTGTAAAGTTAGCTGAAAATGTGTTAATTTGATCGAATTCGCATTGCAGGTAAGTTTTCTCAACCCGCTTCGCCATTTTGTGAGCAGAAACTGATCGTATTGGTTAAAAATCGAGTAAAATGGTGTAAATTGGTTATTGTGCATGTGTATTTAACATGGATTTGCATTAATTACAACCACTAGTCAAGAACTTAACACTTCGAGACGCATTTGCGAGTCCGCTTTTGGGACTCCTTCGTGGACGCCATTTTTTTTGTTGTTGCTTTGATCATGGAGGCTTTTTATGACGAAATACTGTACATATACATTCATATGTAATATTAACTAAGTATGCGTGTTTAATACCGCCATTTTAAGTTTATGCAGCTCTTTTTAATATTATTCTTTATAAGTAAGCACTAAATCTGTAAAGTAAGTAACACCATATTCCTTCATAACTAAATGTTTCTTTCCAGCTTATTAACTCGGTGATCGAAGTGTTTTTTTTTTTGCTTAATTACAGATAATCCCTGTATAATATCTATAATATTCATCTTATTTAACCAATTTCGATACTACCTATGAGATCTTTGTTTAATATCAATCCAACACTTGAAATTTAATTTTGATACTAGATATAATATTATAATTTACTAATCAAATCATAGTTTCCACCCTATACATTGAAATATACTATTAGAAATATCAAAAATTACATAATATCATATCCATTTTTACTGCAACTACCTATTTTTAATTTAATTTTAAAAAGATACTAGATATAATAATGTAATTTACTAATCAACCTTATCTAATGAAAAATACTATCAGAAATATCAAAAATAACATAATATCATATCCATTTTTTTTTGTAACTACCTATTTTTAATTTAATTGCAATTTTCAAAACTATGAGGACCCTAAATATATTTAAATTATAATAATATTATTTAAATTAATTTAAAAATATGTCAAATTAAATTATTATTATAATATATAAATTAATCTGGCTAAACTAACAATAAAATACCTACATATATTAAATAAAATTATTATTATAGTATTGTAAGTCTAGTAATCTGGTTATATTCACTCACCCTGCTGTAGCCCAATTCGAAGAGATAGACCGGCTGCATGGTGAAGAAAGTGATGTCCGAGTAGAGGGCGAAGGTGATGCCCAGCACGATGTTCACGTAGATGGGCTTCTTCAGGAGCGTCAGATCGAGAAAGTCGACAATGGTGCGCAGCCAGCTCTTCTTGGGCTGAGCCTCCACCTGGGCCACCGATTCTCCAGCTGCTCCACCCGCCGCACCACCTGCTCCACCAACAACCACACTTTGTCGCCTCGACGCCTGCAGGCTGTGCATCATTTGGGGCGAGGCATCGCTGACCACCACGGGTCCGGACCAATTGCCCAAACTGGTGATGCTCGAGGCGCGGCTCGAGTGGATCCTTAGCATGTGCTCCTCGGCGTGGGAGAGTCTTCGCGTGACGGGATCACCAGCGGTATGATGGAAACTGGGCTCCTCCCGTGGAGCCTTCAAAGGGGTTTCGGGCTGCACCCTCACCACCACCGGTGGCTTTAGCTCCTTGAGTTCTTCCTCTTCCACCGCATTAATGGGCACGCGACGCATGTGCCACTCAACCGGATGCATCACCAGCATACCGAGCACCGCATGGGCATTCAAACCGGTGAGGATGAGCAGGCAGCCCCGGAAGCCGTACCACTGCATCAGCTTTTGCATGCAAATCGGATACAACATGGCTCCCAGGCCGATCAGCGTCTGGGCAAAGCTCATCCACATCACCCGGTTCTTGACGAAGTAATGATTGAAGGTCGTATAGCAGGTCGGAACCATCAGGCCAAAGGCGAAGCCCTGGATCAGGCTGAAGGCCAGCAGCAGGTGGAGCGTCGAGGTGGCGAACAGCTGCAGTCCGGTGCCAAGGAAGTACAGAATGCCGCCCGTGACGCCCACCTGTCGCATGCCGAATCGCTGGAACAGGGAGCCCGAAAACAGGCCGGCGAAGCTCATCGAGGAGAAGAAGGCGCTTGTGATGATGGCCATGGCACTCGTCTCCGCCCCGATGCTCTTCAGGAAGTCACCGAAAACCAAGCCGAAGGAAGGCAGGGCAGCCAAGGCACTAGTCTGGTAATCGGGGGAGATATAATCGGGTGAGTCAATGTTGTATAAAATTCTATACTATTATCACATAAGTTAGGAATCTCATTTATTTACCCAAAAATTAGAAATCATAAATGTGACAACTTTATGCAGTTTTTTCTGAACAGTTTTGAAAAAAACTTTTACAAGCTTTATTTATTAACATGATAAAAAAGGTTATTTAATTCTTTTACGAATATTTAATAGAAATATTCAGTGCTGAATTTTTTAAACTATATAATTTATTTATCCAAAATTTAGAAATCATAAATGTGATAACTTTATGCAACTTTTTTAAACAGTTTTGGAAAAAACTTTAACAAGTTTTATTTATTAAAACAAAAAAAGAGTTAAATAACTTTTACAAATATTTAATAAAAATATTCAATGATGAATTTTTTAAACTTTATAGTCTATGTAATCCTAATTTGGGACCTAATTAAATTAGGCTAATTTACTTATCCAAAATGTAGAAATCATAAATGTTCGTAAAGTTATCGAAACAGTTTTGGAAAAAACTTTTATAATACGTTTCATTTTTTAACATGACAAAAAAAATAGTTACTGTAGCTTCATTTTGGTTTCTACAAAATTTTTTTTTTAATATTTGGAAGCACTTAAGTTTAATTATTTTGGCTTTGCTTTATTTTTCTACGAAAACTTGTTTTAAAATATTATAAAGGACTTACGTTTTAGAGAAATATATTTATGTTCTCGAAGCACTTCATAATTATAATGGTTTAAATAACGCTGTATATTTTATATATTATATTTTACGGTTAAACTTACGGGAACCTTTGAGATTTTATAAATTCTTCAAAAGGCGAACACAAAAAAAAATTATTTCACTTTTATTTTTTGAAAAGATGGCTTTCCTTTTTTTTTTTATTACAAGTATTCGTTTGTTTATTTTAACTTAAAAAAAAAATGTTATCCCACCGATATTCCACTGGTTGCACTTACAAAGGGCAGGGCCATGCCGATGCAGACGAGGATTCCCCAGCCGCCGTCGGGGGCCTCCAGTGTGTAGCCTTTTGACTTCTTCATCTCGAATGCTGGGCGGCAAGTGATGTGCGACTGACTGGAGTGCTGGAGTCTGAGGCATCCATCCATCCATCCATCCGTGTACATATATCAATCCCATCGTATAAGTCAGCGCATCCAGTAGCAACCTCCTCGATTACCCTTATCGCACCTCTGGTCGTCTTTATGGCCAAGCTAAGCTTCTTATGACGAAGGTTTACAATATGGCTTTGCCGATAAGATAGCTCCCGAGTTTTTCGAGCATTTCCGTAAGTGTAAATACTCGAGACAGCGCCGCCCCCAAAATTCCAATTCCCATTCCCATTTCAGTTGTAATTGTAATGTTACATTTGCGAATAACGGAAACATGTTTGAGCATCATCATTTCGGCCTTTTATCAGGTATCTTCTCGCCTCGCTCTATCGAAAACAAGTTGTCTTGGGACAAGCAACCCAACTGATAAGAATTGTGCCTCCAGAACTAATGCTTCGGACAGGTTTGCCACCAGATTTACAACACAGTCCTCGTGGGTCGCCGTCTCTGTCAGTCATATTCCTCCTCCTCCAACGAGAGTGTTCTTGTGTTTAATTTATACAAACTTATTATTTATTCTTCACGCATTACATTTGTTTGCCCCCGACGCATGAGCTTCCATTCTATAAATGACTTCCATCTAAGTGATAATGATGCTTCGTTCCATCTTGGCCGGATCTCTGAGTTTATAGATGATGACTTTACTTACTAACGTAGTTTATTTAAAATTTCGAATAAAAACTCATTTCTTATTGCTCTCTTTTTCGAAGTCAGAGAATCTCCGAGAAAGAGAAATCGGTATTGCATCGGTAAAAGTGATATGCGTATAAATACCATGCGCATATCAATTTGATATGATTTTTTTTCGTTCTAGAAAATACCCTAACCTCAAATAAATTATTTTACCGTTATTTTTTCATCAATTTATTTTTGCAATTTAATATACACATATTCATATACTGATACAATATACTATATTCTATAAGGCTACAATATCGGGCAATACATTTCCAAAAGTTCGCTTCATACGCTTGTATCAAAATCGCTCTCGTTACTATCAACTAATTCGACAAAAAAATGTATATAATATATATATACTCCATGATAAATTTAAGTACCCAAAATATACTTAATTATAATAGTTTGTGTATATATTATTGTATATCCGAATAGTTTAGTTTCCAGTGTAGCCATTCTCAACGAGCCCAAAAGTTTGCTACATATCATCGTTTACTTGGTCATTTGGTCCACAAAGTTGCGTGGATTGTTTGCATTTATTGCTTATCGGTTGGGTTAAGTTGCATTTTGGTTAGGTATAATCTAATAGATCTACAACAAGATTCTGATTTTCCTATCGATTTTGATCTCTCCACCTCGCCGCTGTTATAAATCTTCAATTGTTGTAAATATATATGTATGTATATATTGTGGCATTTCGTTTTCATTTTAAAATTTAGAAAAATAACCTTTGGCGAGCTTTTCGATACTTTTGTTGTCCATCATCTCGTCTTATTTGATCTTTTTCTTGTATATTTCTTCAGTTCAATCATCGCACTTAGCCTTATACCAAAGTTGTTGTCTCAAGCATACATAGGATATATAAGTATATATTGTTTTATTTATGTTTATATAGTAGTTTAGTTGTTTTGTCGTTGCTTAACATCGCTCTTAAGGTACATTTTAAAGCCGATCAATTTTCAACATTCCTTTCGCATCGATGTATTTTCCGATGCAGATATCAGTATTTCTATAAGTAGTGATTAACTTCTAAATTACAAAACTATCTTTGAACTATCACATACAAGTTCACTAATAAACGAAAGAGAGAACAATTCAAGGGGAAATCATAAAAGGGGAACGGCAAAATTTCTTTTTTTGGGGTTTATAACATTAAGAGTTAAACGCACTTCTTTTTAGTTATATCATATCAACTAAAACTGACAAATCCTGCTTATTTAAATATATGTTTTATATTTTTATGGTTACATGTGTGTGGGTGTGTGTGGTATGGAGTGTGTGTGTGATTATGTCTCTCCAAGATGGTAAGTCTCACTAAAGATATTGCAAAAAAAAAAAAACAAAAGATCAAAAAACGTTACTTAACTAAATTGAGTTTTAATACATTTTCGGGGGATTGGGGCCCCGCCTCCCGTTTTCTTAAGTATATATATTTTTTTCTTTTGTTAATTTGGGTACTCGCTGGAGGAAATCCTCCGCCCTGCGGCGAGACTGTCTTCCTTAAAGTATAGATCTCTCTGGTCCCACGATCTCTGCATCTCCTCTCCTGTCCATCGCCATCTTAAAGTTTCACATCCGGCTGTCCCGTCGTCGTCGTTGTCGCTGCCAAATCCTGGGTGGGCAACTGGGCGGCATCGGCGGTGCGGCGTCTGGACTGGATGTACTCCACCAGGTACTCGATGCCCCAGGCAATGGCGCAAATCATGATGCACACGCTCTGGGTGTGAATGCAGATAGGATAGCTATCGGTCACATCACGAATGAGGCCTGTGAGTTATAGTGATTTTAAAAAATTAGTAAGGAGTTGGGCTATATATATAGATAGTCATTACCGATGAGTGGTCCGAATGTGATGACGAACAGGGCTTTGCCCACCAGATGCCAGCCAAAGGCCGAGGGCAGCTTCTCCAGGGAGCAGTATTCGGATACAGTTAGGGTGAAGTTGCTCAGGGCGGATCCGCGGAAGAAGCCGCAGATCGAAAGCCAAATCATCAACTGGGTCCAGTCCGTTTGCTCGGCCATAACTGAAAAAGTCGAGATTTTAGAGTTTGGTTATTGGAAATGCAAAGGAAAATATGTATATAGAGTATATGCAATACGATATTTTTCCATTGTGCCCATAAAGGTATTTTTAATAATTTGTAGGCAGTTACTTAGGGTTACTGATTTTAGAAACTTACAAACTTAAAAATATTAGTCGAAAATTAGTTTTTTTTTATATTATCTTCGCCAAAAAATAAAAATTTCATTTTAAATAGCAATACATTTTGAGATTCACTATACAAAGTGTGCATCATAATTCTTTGATGGATACTTCTTATTTTTGGATATCATATTTAATATGTCATTTTAATATCAATTAAAACATTATTAAAAAAAAATCATTAAAGTTTTAGTTTTTAGTTGAAAAACTCCACACTGGTACACCCTCTTTTATTAATTTTAAATGTGAAAATATTAAATTAAATAAATTTAGTTTATTTAAATGAAAGTCCTCCTTTTATTGACGTTAAATATTTTATCTAAATATGAATAGCAGCGAATCTAATATTTCTGAGCTTGTTATAAATATTTTAAAATTAAATCACACAGTTTAATATTTAATTAAAATATCTCCAAGCATCTCCAAGCAGCTATTAATTTTCTACTTTTTTATCATTTGAGTTTGAGCTTGTTTCAAATATTTTAAAATTAAATCATGCAGTTTAATACTTAATTAAAATATCTCCAAGCGTCTTTAAGCAGCTATTAATTTTCCACTTGTTTATCGTTGTATGTAAGCCCTTAACTGCTAACTTTACTAGCCTACCAACTTACTTGAACGCGTCAGGGCCACAAAGATGATGGAGACTAGGAAAATGGTGCGCTTCTTGATGGTGGTGCGATCAAAGATCGGCGGCAACACAATCCTGGCCGCGATATCCGTAATGGCGGTGATCGAGAGACAGAAGGCGACGTCGGCCTTCTGATAGCCGAGATTGGCGAAAAAGAATGGCGTGACCATCTTGAAGTTCATCTCGGCCACATAGAAAATGGAGAGACCGAAGAGGAGATTGAGAAACATCTTGTCCTTCAGCATATCGATGTCCAGGAGATCGGCAAAGCGACGCCAGAAGCCCGGCTTCTTGGCCTTCTTCTTGGCCTCCTCGTCGAGGGCGGCGGCCGCCTCGGCCTGTTTGTCCAGCTCGGTGGGCTTCATCTTGATGAAGCTATCGCGATGACCGCCGAGAACGATGCTGCCCGTGGCGGTGCCCACGCGTCGCAGTTCGCGATCGTTCTGCTCGAACTCATCGTCGCCGGTGTTCAGATGCACCTGGAGTATGGAGCCGGTGAAGTCCATGTAGGAGAGGTTCGAGGTGACCGAGGCCTTGCGGCAGCGCAGCTGCGTGGCATTGACCTCCGCCTGCGATGTATAGCCGCCCGAATCTCCGCCAGCCGCCGATTGTACGCCGGCCAGGGACATGATTCGTGGGAAAGTTGGCCTCTTTGGCAGTCCCAAACGATTGCCATTCATCGTGTTCATGGCCATTTCCGAGTAGTTCTTTCGCATCGAATGCTGATGCGCATGATGCTTGTGAAACAGCAGCGTGTTCATTTCGGGCAGAGCATCCTCCTCGTTGCCATCCTCCTTGATAACCTTGAATTCGGGCGCTCCTGCCGCTGCGCCGCCACCTATTCCGCCGCCGACCGTCAGCTGAGGCTGCGGGGTGGGCAGGGCCGAGATGCACATGAGCTCCTCGTCGTCGAACTCCTCCTTCATGTGCCACTTCACCGGCTGCAGCAGCACCGAACCGACCGTGGCATTGAGGGCCACGCCCGCCAGCAGCAGCACCGCCCCCCGGAAGTCGTAAGCCTCCAGCAGAATCCTCACCAGCTGCGGCATTATCAACATACCCATGGCCGTCCCAGCCATCGATAGGCCAACCGCCTGACCGCGCTTGTGCTTGAAGTAATGATTGAGGGCCACAAAGGCCGCGGATGTAGAGAGACCGACACCGATGCCATTGATCACCGAATAGGTGCTCAGAATGTGGGCCATGCTCGTCGCCGGCGATGTGAGCGCCAGGCCCAAGCCGCACAGCAGCGAACCGGCGATGGCCACCTTGCGGTAGGAGAACTCCTTCAGCAGTGGGCCCACAAAGAGGCCCGAGAAATTCATGCACACGTCCAGCGCACTGATGATGATCGCCGCTCCCGTTGTGCCCACATTGAGATCCTTGAGGGTGTCGCCGAAGAGCAGGCCGAACGAGGGCTCAATCGAGCGGGTGGCCAGCTAAAAAAGAGAAAAAGGGTTATCGATTAATAATTTTTAATGATTATTGGGATTATTTTCCCTGCCACTTTGCCATTCTTTGGTCTTCAAATTACTATCGACTTGAGGTTGATTTATCCGAAATTATTGTCTCGAGTTATCGAAACTAAATAGAGCTTACAAATTATCGATCTTTTCGATATTTTGACAACATCGATTTAATAATATAAATGTTTTCAAGGGAAAACACAAATTAAATATTAATAAATAGGAATTCGAAATTTTTTCAAGCTCGACTGACAAAGGAATAATCGGAAAAATTATAATAAAAGTAAGCTTTGCTATTTTTTGATTTATTATCTTCTACTCTTCAGTATATGAGTATTATTATTATTAAAACCTCGAATTGCCTTTCTTGTTTTTTTTTTTTGATAAGGCGTAAGGATCTTTAAAAAAATCCATTGAAAATTTAATGAGAACCACGGAATTAAGCAATGGAACTAATTTAAGCTCTTATTTTGTTCCATTCCTACTCGATTTCCAATAGATTATCGACGGGCTTTATGGCATTATTATTATTAGTTATTATTTTCTCATCCAACTTAATCGTGCTTCGATTTCTGATCGCTTGGCGCCCCATAAATTATACACTTGCTGAGCGAACATTGGTATTACTCTTATTCCATTTGTATTTTTATGTGGGCCAATTTGTGCGAGCTAATCTGCCGCGTTCAGAGGCCGCCGCGTGATTTATCGGCTGCGGAGGCAGAGAACTCGGGGGAAAGAATTACGCGTAGAGTGGAAGAGAGGGCGCTGAGCCATAACCACCATTTCATTATCATTATCAGTGCGACATGGATGGCATTCTTGCAATGGATTGCGAATGGAAAACAGAGAAATTGACACAATACAATGACGTCATCACACGAATAACCATATATACCAAATACCATATCGCAAAAATAACCCCCAATCCTTATCGAAAAAAACCCTTTGGCGCGGGCAAGTGGACAAAAAAAAAAGAAACCCAAAGTCAGCACACTACACACCCCATTATCGATGCACTTCAGATGGATGGATGGTGGGCTCTTCAGGCCCCTGTTTTTTCCTTATCGGTTGTGCAATTTCATTGGACATCATCTGAATGGGTAGGTGACCACGTCAGCTCCTTATCATCGCCAGGGACTTGGAATCGGAATCTTCTGACCAGCGTTCTTTTCCATTCATGATCGGATTTGATTGATGGATTTTTCTTTCTTTTTTTTCTATTCTATTTCGTTTTCCTTGGGCCTTGCGGAACCACCTACAACTAACTACTGGTGGTCATATCTGTGGCCTGATGCCTGTCATGACTCGAAATTCGAGCATGTCTAATTTGTATTCGTAAAGTGGGTTGGCCTATAAAGTGGACTGGCGTGAATTTGGTATTAGATGATTGCAGCCGGTGGTGGGCTGTCATTTCAATTCGGTTTTTTTCGTATACTTTAGAGGACAACTAAACGAAATATGGTTTCTTAAAAGAAAGTCGACTTAATGTCGAATGAACCAGGGTCTGTAATTATTTTGATGTCTAAAATACCAATTATAAAATAGTAATAATTGCTTGATTTTTATCAAATAAATTGATAAATTATCCAATTTAAATTCTCCAATAAAATTTAAAATAATTCGTATTCACATATTTTTATTACACAATAAATGGAAAATAATTCATATTGTCCAATTTGTTTTATAAAAATGAAATAAAGAAGGAAACAATTAAATTAATTTTGTAATTTATAAAATAAAATTGTAAAAAAAAAAGAATTTTTATTAAAAAATTTATGAAATTTATTTACTAATACATTGAATTTAAAACATTGAAAGGGAATTCTTTACTTTTATTATAATAAAAATACAGACAATTTATACCAACTTTGTTAAACTTTAATGACTTTCCTATTTGGTGCATTAAATCGTTAAATAAAAGTTTATAAAAAGGGTTTAGGTTTAATTGGCATTTAAAGATTGCTGGTCGTCTAAACTTCCGTCGTATTTCCCATGGATATTCAAAGAACCTACAGCAAACTTTGAATATAAAACCTTCTAGTCCCTCCAAGCATATGTATACACGATGGATGGGCTTCTTAAAGTGTTTTATTTGTTTGCGGCTGGGCTGCGATTATTATTGATTGCGCTTTGGTGCTTATTGATTTTCGAATTTTTAAATTACGGCGCCCGTCCCTCTAGGTATATGAGCTTTTATGGGGCGTTTCAGTCAAAAGCCTTAATTGCTTGATAATTCAATTATCAGAACTCATAATTGAAGGAGGAAAAAGAGAAACATTTGAAGGGAAAAGAAACAACACGCGCTCACTCGGTGTTCGAAGTCAATATAGTTGCTAAAATGGTTCAATCGTTTGTGATCGGTGGGGGTGAAGTCGATGGCGATGATATGGGGGTTCCATAATTCGCTTTAGGTTCCCACACTTTGATTTCAAGACGGTCAAATTCAGTTGATTGATCAATTCGTATAGATTGAATAGTTGTAGACACTTTTGACAGGCAATAAGTAAAGAACACTATTTATTTCTGGTCATATAATATTTATTATTATTATTGTTCTAAATATAATTTTAAAACTAAGACAACCTATATGCCTTTTAATGCCCAGCACTAGTTAAACTTCCGCTATAACAAGGAAATCTCAATCAACGCGTGTTTTTCGATTCAGCAATATTTCTAAAATACCAACAAATAATCTCCGACCAGTTTTCATTTCAAATTTGCACATTTTCAACAGCGACGACGGCTGAGAGGGTTTATTGTAATGTGTAAATACATTTTTAGCTAGACTTTTGCCTGCTGTTTGGGGATTGTTTATTGGTGGGTGCTACATATATGAATATATAATATATATATACACACATGTTTTTTTTCTTCTTTCTTATATTTGTGCTCGACAATTTTAGCGAAAAACAGCCAAAGACAAACAACAAACCCGATAACAACCAAGTCGGGAACAGAGATGAGATCTCTGGGATTTCTGTTTGTTTGATTTTCGGATATTGCTCCAAATCAGCTTATTGATTTATATATATATGATTTTGAGAGAGGGGGAGGGAACTGAGTTGTGAGATGTGAAATTTGCACAATTAGCTGCTAACTTATTTTTAAACATTTCGTGCAATATTTTCGAATCTAATTTACAAGTGGTGTTGATGCCCTGCGTGAAATTAACGTGACACTTGAGTGTTCGCAACGAAAGTTGCTTTATATATTATATCTATAATCGTAGCGGCGGTCCCTATATAGACAATATTACTTAACAATTCGCCAGCGCGCCCTTCACGCGGCTAACACGTTGTCTCGTCGCAGCTCAATCAACTGGATTGGAAGGGTTTATGGATTGGAAATATTTTGTGTTTCAGGTCAGAAAGCTTTATCGTAACTACTTACTTATGTGATTTATGGATTTCAGTTTGTGAGTGGTGTATGCCTATATATTTTCAAGGTTTTTGTTCTGGCTTTTCTAAACATTTCATAGATGTCAAACGCCCAAGTACTCATAAATTACATTTCCGAATCGGAAGCCACACGTTTCAAATAGGTATTTTGCTTTAATTTCTGTTGTAAAAAAGGCATATATTTCGAGTACTATTTATCGATGTGTGCTATTTATAAATCTTGATTGCATAAGGCTTATTCATGTAATATTTTACTTTATATTAACAAAATATTTTATATTTCAATATAAGAAGAAATTTAAGATCGGACTGACATAAAAACGTAAAAAAAAAAAACAACAAAATTCGAAAAAAAATTATAAAAAAGAAAAAGACTTTTTAAAAATCAATAAACTATTGTAAATTGATTTTTAGTAAATTTATAATAATTACTTTATTTTCTTTCATTTATTTTATTTTTAAAGAAACCTAAACCTATTTCACAATATGTAAATTCAGCACGCCTGGGTGCCGGGATACAAAAAGTTCCACTGTCTATCTGGAAAGATATTATACAGGGGGCTTTTGACTTTTGGGAACCACTTGGCGGCGCGTGTGTGGTACTGGTTTCGAATTCACTTTTGGCGTGTTATCAATTTTCAAGTCCAAAGTTCGTGTCTCTTTCCTGCGTGCGAATCGTGCATGGATGGTTGGGATGGGATGTGGTGGATATAACCCATATTATTATGCCATCATAATGTGTCACCCCCGATTCGATGACGTTGTCGGGCAGACGTCATTTGATTCCTCCGCCGCCGCCTCTTCATTCCTCTTCATTCGAGAAGTCGGCTCTCTTGACCGCCGTCGTAAATCAAGTCCATTCATCCTATCGATTTCCCATTAAGTTTTGCGTGGCATTTTCTATGCTTCCAACTTGATATTTCATCATTTCTCCGGTGTTTTGTGTTTTGTCCTTCAAAATTTGAACTTTATTAAATATGTTTAAATGGTATCTGGGTATTCTACTGTCCATTGTTTTTTCTTGTATCTTGATAAGGAGTGAATAGTTAGGCCCCAGGTTAATTTCCGGATCGCTTTGGCGACGACGGTAATTGGCTTCAGAAGTTAGTAGCTCATTTTTATGTACGCTTGAATCGGCCAATTACTGGTAATCATCTAGAGAAATTGTAAAATTGTGTAATTGGGAATGGGAATGCTTAATGAATTTATTTTCGTACCCCCAACACACGCATTTTTCATATAGCATGTTGTGCGGAAAATTACGTTTTGTAATTGAATATAAAATAATAAAGGTTGGTTATTTTTAATTGGTTTTCCATTTCTAATATTAAAATTAAACATTTAATAATAATTCGGTGGCATTGAAATGTGGGATTTTTAAGTATTCCGATTTACTTTCAAGTTTACAACAAGGGGTGGTAATGCGATTTGTTAACCCGTTCAGTTCAATGGATTCCATACAGATTCGGTAGCACCTTGACTTCATCGAATGTAAATTTACATAATTTTCATTTTTTCGACGAGTACCTTGAACTTGAAGAGCTCCTCTGTGTGGTGAAATAATATAAAACGTTA